AGTCGCGCTTCCAGTCGTTGATTTTGACGGTTTTCAAATGCTTCCAGTCGTTGATTTTGACGGTTTTCAAATGCTTCCAGTCGTTGATTTTGACGGGCATCCAGGGATACTATCTCCCTTTTAAGAGCAAGAATTCCAACATTAGGATCATTAAAAAAGTTAATAAACCATTGTGGAGGTTGATTATTATTAGACTCCTCTGCATTTTTGTAGTGATTCAGACGCCTCTCAACAAGTTTTATTTGTTCAAGATAATCCTTTTCAGAATTCATTTCCCTGGTTCGTAAAGCAATTCGTTCAAAACCTTGTTCTAACTCACTCCTTTTAAATAGATAGCTTTTTTCATTGAATGCAGTTCTTAAGTCATTTAAATAGCGACTTAACTCAGTAATGTTTTCCTGTCTTGGAGGAGGAATACCTAATTCATTCGTATACAAATTCTCATTGTTGGTTGACAAATCTTCTCCTTGTAAGTGCAAATCCACATCCATTTTCTTTCATAAAATCAAGTACAGGATCAATTCACTTTTGAAATTGTTATTGCTATTGCTATTGCTATGGTTGTGGTTGTGGTTGTGGTGGAAGTGGTAATGGCGATGGAAGCAGTTAAAACATACTAATAACGAACCGTAGCGACATCTATATATCCGAGGTAGTTTAATCAGTACAGTTATGTACGATTGTATGATATAGCAAAAAAGTTTTCTCAGGTTTAAGAATGGTTTGCTTTTTTGACAGAATCTAAGAAAAATTCACGGAAATCTTATTGTTATAGTTGAATTTAATGAAAGATATCTGAATTCACCAAAAACAAAGCATCCTAAGCAATTAGTTATTACAAAAACATTCAACATAACAACTCGTGTCATCATCAAAACTTTCTTGGAAAGATCATCTGTCAATTTTGTTTACAGTCTTTTAATTTTTCAGTTTTGAGAAAACCGATGATATAAGCTTCAGGTTGGAAAGGTCTCAGCGGACCGTTTGTTCTGTCTTTTCATAATGTATACTAAAAAATTCTGGGAATAACAAGAAATCCATGTTGCTTCGTAAGCAGAACCAGAGAAACGAGTCTCACAGACGATCCCCGTCTTATTTTACAAAATTAATTAGATAAGCGAAGATGATTTCAACTGTAATGAGTGTCATCATATATATATATATATATATATATATATATATATATATTGTCTATGGTTATAGAGTGGATGCTATACTTGTGCTCATTGAAAAGTAATGGATACTCATGCTTTCTCTTACAATCTTTGCTACTTTCTATTTTTTTTTCTCTATTGTTTTATACTACCGAACAGGAATGAATTCTTCTCTGTTCCTTTCGGTTAGAAAAGTAGCACGTCAGCTATCAAATTTGAACAACGATAATGGTAACTCGCTTCAAATCCCTATGGGAGGACGAAACTATTGCGTAGGTTACTATGTGCAGATTGGCCTTAGCACTCCTCCTCAGACGTTTAATGCGCTTATCGATGCAGAAAGTAGCTTCATAGATACCCTTTGGTAAATTATAAACTGAAAAAAATTGCACAGGTACCGATTGTATTGACCCTTCATAATTAACTACAGCTCATGATCGAGGAAGAAGAGGTGATACGGGTTACTTGTCTGGTTCGGTTGATGTAGAAATGTATCAGACACTTTTCGGACGAGTGAACTTGAGATCCCCGATCAGCTTATTGGTGCTGCTATAACAGCAAAAACATGTTTACTTTCCAAGAATCTGGATTTAGCGGAATTATGACTATGTCAGGCGGAGGTGAATCTTTTATATCTGAAATGGATGCATTCCCTGTACTATTTTTATCATAAAAAAGTGGTAGTTCCAGCCAGGTATCGGTTTGTAGGTTAGATGATTTCAATAAAAGCGAACTTTTCCTTGATAACCCAGATGCAAATCTCGTAAAAGATGACCTTGCTTGTCATAAAAACGACAATTGTACACTTGAAGAATTCTGCGTTACAGCTGGGAATATCTGTCTCGCAGTCAAAATGGAAATGAAACCGGTATTCTAAAGAGTGACAGCAAGTACGAAGCACTACTAGATAGGGAGCATGACTGACATTGATGGACAGTACAATAGCATCAACTCTCTATTATCCATTAGGAAGATTGGGCAATGTTCGTATATCTTGTAATGTTCCAGATATAAACCTTATTTCTAATGGAAAAAAAATACATATGGACAAAGCTTGTTGTTATTTGTCTTTTTTAGAGCTTGATAAATTTAAATTTGATTTTCTTTTGAATGGCAAGTTAATTACAAATCTTAGAACCTTACAAGATGGTTGTCGTAAACGGAGCGTAATCGTTCCTGAGAATCGATGTCAATTAACAAATGCTCTCTTGTATAAAATCTTGGCGAATTTTTCTTTTCAAAAAAAATTGAAATTCTAAGTAGAACTAATTAAAAAAGGAAACTACCTTTGAAGCCGTTACTTTTTATATCTATCTACCTGCGGCGGTACTGCATGGAATTATTAATTTTCTAACAAAAAATATTTCTTATTATCTACAAAATTGGCGCGTACTCTGTTACAATGATTACAGAGCGAAAACAAAGAGGACAACTCTTAAGATTGTCTAATCAGTCGAACACTTTTGTACGATGTAGAAATAGAACGTCAGCTTTCGTCTTTTTTTTAGATGTTTGTAAACATTCGTGGAATCCTACATTTATTACAAGTTCATAGCATTTTGAACCCATGGAAGAAAAGTAAAAGTCGGATTCAAGTGACCCTACTGTAATATCGTTTTAGAGAAGGGTCTTTACTTGTATAGACCCGCAAACCGGATTGTTTAAAAGGGAAAGTAATGGAGAAGCCCACAGCACCCCATCTTCCCATGTTGTCTCCAACCGTAGTACCAACGTGACCCTCAGATGTTTTCACTTAACTGCAGTGATCGGACGGGGACTGATGTTTTCGCCTAGGTATGGCCGTAGACAGCTAACGAGTTCTTTAAACATATTCGTACCGAATAATAAAAGAAATAGTATCCATACGCTTCATGTCACAAGCACACTTGTCTCATTTATTTCATTGTTTTACTTGTTTATTGTCGTGCTCATGAACTTTTCAGCTACTTAGTGTTGACCCTACTTGCGATAAGACATAAAACTTCACATTTTTTTTTCGTCTCTAATTGTTTCCACTCTATGCTGCTAAACATTGTATACAAAACAAAGAGACAACTTGGGACGTCATCTCTAATATATAAGCGAAATGACAATGTTAATGTTGAAAATAACAACACAAGGAATAGAACACAAAAAGCAAAACAATAGAATACAGTAAAATAAAACGAATTAAATTAGGAAAAAACAGAAAAGTCGTAAAGAAAATGACGAAATTGTAGAGTAAAAAAAGGATTTGTTTTACAAGTTTGCATGTTGTTGCATGTATTTCTTTGGTACTGAAGTATACTTGTCAGAATTATTTATTTATTTAAAAACTTGAATATTTATAAACATTCATTAGAAAAAGCTGAGGAAAATTCAAGTTTTGCAAGAAAAACGGATACTTGGATTCTCCACGGTGGACTATAGGCAGACGATGCAAACTAGTTGGTTCTACAAATCTGAGGGTTTGGATGTGGTAAGAATGAGAAAAAAAAACATTTAATCAATTCAATTCGTATAAATTTTCAATTTTATTTGTATTTCATGTTCGACAGTTGGATGGGTGAGCTCAAAGGACAAAACGCAAACACAAAAAACACTGTAAACATGAAAAGGCTATAACATCCGTGAAGCTTGTAGTTCTAAACAATCGTAACACTGCAGTTGAGTAACGGATTTAATTTGCAGCAGCAAACAAACATAAAAAGCTAGAAAGAATAAAAAACGTTTAGCACTTGGACTGAGCACTTAACACATGGGTCATGCAATTACGGGCGTATGCATTGCACGTAGCAAACATCACATACGTTAAACACTAAAAACAACAAAAATTATTAAAAAAGATAAATAAGCAAAGCGTCTCGTTTCGTTTCGTTTCACTGGTTGACTTGACTTGACAGAGAAAGAGATAGAGACAGCTCAAGAAGCTTTAATAGAAAAGGTAGATATTATAAAGAAAGCGGTAGAATTTTTGTAGTAAAAGCTGTAGCACGATACATTATCTCTTGTTAAGAGATTGTGTATTTTTTGACATATAATCTTCAATGTCTTCGTCAAAATCAAACACATATAATCTAGGTTTATGATGAGCAAAAGATAACTTAGCAGCACCTGGTATGGCTATTGAAAAAGAGTTAGGTCTTAAACTAGTCCTAGTTGACATAGCCTCATTTACCTCATCTACGGATATGTTGTTTCTGCCATCGTCACTTAATACTTCTGCGAATGTATTATTAACTACTACAGAGAGTCTATTAGGTAAATGCTTACTATACCTACTTGGCCCAATGTGTTCCATTAAATCTGAAAGACATAACGTTTCCTCAATAGGCTCGTGGCCCAAGGAGGTTCTGCACATTGCGCTCCTTCATACGAATAGTAACCTTCATGACAGACACGTTCAAAAATAAAATTGTTAACAAGCCTTAATTAGCGAAGTGAAAATATACGCTTTTTGGTTTACGCTTAGTATACGCTGGGTGTACGCTTTTTGGTAAGGGTGGTGTATGGAATTGAGGGGAGATAAAGAAGGGATGATGTAGGTGGCTTACACTTGGTGTACGCTGTAATATACGGGTGTTTTCGTAGTAGCTGTTGTGATGAGAAGATGATGCTAGAATGATGATAAACAAACAAACAAATAAAGAAATAAACAGATAGAAACAGTAGCAGTGGAATACAATCCTCATTGTCAAGGTGTCACGATGCTGAGAAAACAATTCTTTACCATTGTTTCCCTTATTCAAGGACAGCGAATATAAAATGATTTCATAGAATGCAGGAAAAAAGGGACAGAAAGGGAATAAAGCATAAGGGATGAAATTATCTCACTTAAGCACTAAAGTTAAGCGAAAGCGAGGGGAATACATTCCAAATTCGTCATTACTTACTTGCCTTCAGCAAACTTTTTTCTTAGGAAATAACATTCTCAAAATGCGAGATTTTCAGTTTGGTAAACGAGGCTTATTTTTATTTTCATTTGGTATACGCTGTTTACATTGATTAAAGCAGATCTTGAGCTTGGTATTTCAAATTCTGAAGTTCCTTCTGATAATGTCAAAGACGATTTTAAAAACTTTCAGTTCAGAATTGATTGCCAATGGGTAAATGCCGACGAAAAACGTCCAAAGTATAATTATTTCGATAGCTTTGACAATGCAGCTGAAGAAATTGCTGTCACTTACTTTCCAGCCGAAGAATGGAAAGTAGCTCTTGGTGATAGCGAAGCGATGAAAGACCCTTTTTCCCAGATTATTAAGGAACGCGGAAAGTTTTCTATATCCCAATACATCCGCCCTGATGAGAGAGATACTTTGACTGGTCCATTTCCTTCTAGCGGCGGTTCTGTCTATACTTTCACCTTTGCATCCAACTTTACCCACCCAAACCACCGCTATATAGAATTTGAGGAAAAGGTCCCAAACACATTTTGCTTTGCTTCAAGACCAGTCTCAAAGAATGGATCAAATAATTATCTTGATTCAATTTGGAGCTATAAACGTTTCATTTCTAGTCTTGATGATGATTCTGCTCCAAAAGATGCTCCTTACTACAGCCCTTTAATATTTACCTTTGGATTCCTTTTGCTCGCTATTTACTGGATTTATGCGATGGTTTCTCAGCGATCAAAGGTTCTCCCAGCGCAATATGGACTTTTGCTACTCACCATTAGCTCTGCTTTTGGAACTCCATTTTTCTTTTGGTGGACAGGATCTTGTAATGACACAGATTCAAGCCTTTGCACTCCTTCGATAGTTGGAGATGTCAAGGAGTCGTTTGATATATTTATTGAGCGTCTGGTACTATATTTTGTAGCTTTCGGTTTTGGAGTATGGCGTCTAACTCGAGGCAATTTAGTTTCGGGAGGTACGATCTTGCTACTTATCCCTGTAGTGTTCCGTACCGTCCTTAAATTAATCTATTGGAAGTTTGGGATATTTGAAACATCCTTTTATTTGATTGATGAGTTTTTGAATGACTCGAGCAACAATTTAATTTGGATGTATGCAATTTATTATTTATACCAAACATATACATCTACAACTTACATGAAATCGAAGTACTCCATAAGGTTGGTAAAACAATCTCTTTTTTATTGTGTCGGTATGATTACATTGCGTCCTTTTGTATCGGCATATTTAACTACAGTGACATTGTGGACTCCCGTTTCTTTAACTCCAAACGTAGGTGACTTTATACATTGGATAATCCGTTATGGAGCAGAAGTTATGATTCCTTGCTATATATGGCGCCCTTCACAGAATGAATTGGTCTGTTACAATGAGGAAGAATATACAGAGTCCAAATGAACCAAGATACGAAGTCTAAATGCCTTATTTTACCCAGCTACTAAGCGATGAATTGGAAATTTCATCTATGATTTTTTTAATCGTGGCAGATACCCATAATTTGATGTTGTTATTCATGTATTTTTTATGTTTAAATTTCAACTCAAAACATACCCAACAGTTATGATTTACTATTCATCGAGAATTCATAGTAAGTAAATTTATAATAATTGAGCAAAGCCGTTTACAAACCTTTTCTCTGTGAACTAAGCCTTTGAGTCTCGTAAAATCTAGTAGGAATCGATGAACGTTCTTATGACTTGTCAATAAAAAAGCGAGCATTCATAACATCTGTAACTATAGATCAAGTGAACCGACGATAATGCCGGAAGCTACTGAAAGATCAGAAGAAAAGTAGTCGTCCAATAATGGATTCTTCGAGAAATGGACGCCATGATTTTGAAAGATGTAAACAAACGCGAAATATTTAAACTTGTTATTTATCATTATTATTTTCATACAATTATAAGTGGTAATTGGCAATGGTTAACCGAGCACAGCCCTTCAATGACCAAACTGTCGCATAAGGGAAGCGAGTTTTCTTGCTGAGCCAATTTATTTTATTTTATTATTTGAAATGATCAGTTTGCGCTACCGCTTCCAGCTAATATTCAACAAAAGAGGATCCTACTTTACGTTAGTGCCGTGCTACTATAGGTGATCATCAAAAATTTCATATTCGGTACTATTTGAAATGCGATCCCAAGTATAATGAAAGCATACCTGCGAATTTGAAGGACGCAATTAGCGTGTTTTTTACCTTTAAGGAGAATCAAAAGAGAAAATATTGTATAGGAAGGTCATGGAAAAACAAAAGCAGCTGCTCCTTTACAAGACAAGTTTCGAGGACTGAAAATAAAACGCCTAGGCAAAGCATCAAAAGAAAATTGAAAGGATGCATAAAATATGTCAATTTAGTAATACGCTGATATATCTGCGATACGTTGAATGTTGATCTAGTAATAACAAACCGTTTACAGCTATATTACTATTTCAATAATTTCCTTTTCAAATGTTATGGTAATAGGGATATTTGATTCTTAATACCGTAATTGAGAAGTCATACATGAAAAAAAAAAACAGATGCAGGTGCTTTTTCAGTTACGGAAAAGACCCAGATTTGAATTGGAATTGATGATTTCAACAATCACTTTGCTCGGCCATGAGAGAACTAAATTATACCAGACTCACACATTAACATTTTCTGTTTAAGGGTTGAATTTTGTACTACCGACTCCTCGCTTCAGCTCTAGCGAAGTTTATCTGCGTTTGCTCTTCCGCTAGTGCAGAAGTGCTCTTCCCAATTATAGCCAAGTTCTAGTTCTGTGCCTGTAATAATGCAACTGATCTTACTGTTATTGCAAACATTTAAGCAGACATCGACTTGTTCAACTAAAGTTTGGGAGGAAAATGATGCATTTTATGACTCCATGAAGCACAGCAGCCCCCTCCCAAACATAAAGAATGAGGCCCGCCGAAGAAAAGTTTAGGATTACGATCCAGATATCCAGCTGAAGCATAGCACCGCACTCTTGCAGCAGTATTTCTTGAGTTACAGTTCAACCGCTTTTCATGTTCCTTGACGTAAAGACTCCATTGCTGCCCAAATCTTGATAAATAACTTATAAGTTATCGTTGGATGTATATTGACCATGTTTAGAGAAAACCATAGTATCATTTCCGAATAATTGAAGCAAATGGAAAGCAAAATCAGACTCATTACTTAGCTGCGTGTAACCATTATAGCCAGCAGCAGAACCGAAATGAGCTGGGTATACAAGATCATCGATCAGGTCTTTTTTGTCTGCTTAAGTAGCCAGATTCAAAAAGGCGAGCTTACTTTCTCATAATTATCTCGCGAATCGTAGTGAAGCGAGTAGTTCAGTTGTTGCAAATCATGGTTATATAAGCTTGAGTAAAGTTCTGAGTAGCTTATGATCCACTGATCCCCAAAAACGTCGTTAACAAACCAATTTACAAGAAGTTTTAAAGCACTATTATAATCATTGCTGTTGAGCTGGCTAGCATTAACAAAAGTAACGATTAGAAAACTTGCAAAGGCGAAAAGCATGAACATAACAATTATCTATCGCTTATTTATTTTGCTCAGCGTATACAACTAAAAAGAAAATTCATAGTCATTGATTAATTACGGAAACCAATAATATTGTCAAGATCTTTCACGCATGTTTACATGGTTATACGACCTACTTATTGGAGAATCTCGTTTAACTAGTGCTAATGCCCCTGCCCGCTCGGTTGCGCCTTCCTACGTGTATGGGGTGAAAACTTACAATATTACTAGGATTTATTTCTCCTGATTTTGTTTGTTACTTTGGACTACGATTGTCAAGGGAAGAAAGATTTCATATGTGTTTACAGAGAAGGAAAGAAAAAGAAAAGAAGCATTATGTTGGTAATGCTAATAACAATAATAAATTAACTAGAAGATGAATTCGATTTTAACCGTTATATTATTAAGACCAGAGTTCCTAGCTCGAATACAGTGACTGATTGCTGACGAAGTATAGATGTTTATAATCCCTTCTTCCGACTTGTATTTTATGAATACTCCAAAAAGTATAGAACTATACCTCAAACTTTAGCATGGTTTCTTCTTTTGATTATGTCATATGATAGTTCTAAAACATGTTGATACAACTTGCGACGCTTGATTCAAGTAATTCAAAAGGTTAGTTAAAACTATGGAGATAAAAAAAACGAATATATTTATTTACTATTTAATTTTTTTTTTAATTCCATTATATGAGCATTTATATTGCATCGATATATAAATAGTAGTGCGAAATGCGAAAAAGCATTTGGAATCAAAGTCACACAGAAAGGAAAATAGCTTCCAAAATTAGTAGCGAAATAAAGCAATGAGAACAACCTACTGTTTAATCTGAAAATTCTGTAAATCTTCAACGAGGCCCTAATAAGAAGTGTAGATCTCAGCTAACTCCTGTTTATCCGTTGTATTGGCAAAGGTTTCCAATTTTGCTAAACGTAAATCCAGTTTGATTTAGAAGAGAAAGTAAATTAGTTATCCATTCGTAGCTCGAGATGAAAGTCGGATTAACGTTTGAATTGTTGGCAATGTATTGATAGAGCATCATGCTTCACCATATTGTTTGTGTAGAATAGAATGATGTAACCCGTTCAATGCCTTCTTTAATTTTGGATAACAATCTAGGTGTTTCCATAGATATGGGCTCTTTCAAAATTGTCTTGAAAAGTCCGTCGTGTCCAAAATATTCAAATTCAATTCCAAACTCGTTTGGGGAGTCTTACTTTGTTTGGACAATACAAGAGTCGATAAGAGGCATAAACTCCGGCTAATGAACAACTGTTGGTACTCTCAGCTAAAGTCTCAAGAACATCACAAAATTCATACTCGTTTCTCTCGCAGATGGCTTCAAATCAGAAATCCACTCATAATCTTCAACGTTGGATGGGTCCAAGTACGAGTTCGAGTTGATGTATTGATAATAGAACCAGCAATTACCATACTGGCCGTGTTTTTCTAATTTTCCGATTGTATTAATAAGCTCGGAATAGTGATCTAAGGAGTACATAGAGATAGGCTCTTGGAGCAGTGTACGAAGAAGCTGATCATTTCCTTTGTATCCATATTCAATGGGGCCTAGAGAACTTTGTTTATCCTTTAAAGCATGCGCATTATAGAAGAAAAGGAATACTTCAACGATCGAAATCAATTTCACAATATCGCTCTACATGTTGGACAGTAAATTTCAATGTTCTTATTGAAGAGCAAACTAACAAACAAAAAGAAACTAGATTCTAGAGATATGTGGAATGCAATCTGGGTGATGTGAAGCAAAAGCAGTTGTTTTAGACTCCCTTTTCTTGTCTAAGAATAGTTTCCCTGTTTATCCCTAAATAATAAAAAAAGGAAATAAGCAAATCAGCAACTTATCAGCAATTCATTGATGAATTTGCTAGTTAATGAGACGAACAAATAAATAAAACATCGTCTTTATTGATCTGTGAATACTACCGTTTTGGGTTGTATAAATGAATTTGGGAAGATCTCACCAGCTAAAACTGGAAAAACCTCAGTAGAACGTTTGATACGAGTATTGAAAACACATAATTGAAAAGATTTCGCTTTGAACATGAACTGAACTTGATCCTACTGCAATCTTACTAATATTACTAGTGTTTACTACTTCTGATGTAGCGAAACTCTATATGTTTGAGTTTGTACTACCGAAACCTCACTTCTTTCCTCGAGCGTGTAGTTTTTAAAGTGGTCAAGCGAAGTTTCCTCACATCTATTTGGTCTTACACTAGTTCAGTGATCCTGTCTCGACCTATCCAGTATGCATAATGTCTCAAGATTTCTACAGGAGATGAACTTCGCTGTATTGAAAGCATGTTTTATGTACCTTTCAATCGAAGTACGTGTGTGTTTCTCTGAATTCAAGTTGAACTTCTGTTCGCATACTGTCTGGTGGAACATGGAAATGAAGAAAGCAATTTGCGAAAAATGAGTAAAATCAGTCTGGTAACAATACTTTGCTTTTATACTTTTAGTAAAAAGTTAATAAATCAACTTTCATAGGAAAAGCTTTTTTAAAAAAAAAAGCAGATTAGCTTTGTTAATGAAAACATAAACAAATGCGAAGCTATGAAATCTGTTACTTGCCTTCGTGACCCAAAACTGCGTAAGCGATGCGAAATTTCTTACTGGAGCCAAAATCTTTTTTCCTCAATTCCTGTCGAATGGGGCTAATTTATTAAGTTGTAAGTTTTCATAATGAAAACTTATAATTGCTTAAAGATTGACTGATATTTCTGCTGAATTTCGCATTTGAGCTCGATTTGTGAATTTTGCAATCTGAACGAAACTTCTCTTTTCCTACTCTGTAACTACTTCATCAATGCATATTCTTTCTTATGGAAATAGTCAAAAAGGAACCGAAAGGATCGATGGATCCTCCAGCTTGCAACCATGCTAATTCTTACAACGCTGATTTCGAAAAGAGACTTCCTTTGTACACTCCAGAAGAAAATAAGCAGCCTTCCAATTCAACCGCTTTTGAAGCCATAGGAGAAAAAAAAGCGATCGGAACTGAATCCAGTGGTCTCAATGCTTCACAGGATGGTTTCCTTTCAGCGTAACTGCCTCAAACCACAATATCGTTGTTCAATGCCTTCGCTTGGTCCACGTTACTTTCATATATATGCTTTATTTCAATTAATCGGGTATTATTTGGACATAATTGTTTCTTTGGGGATATATATTTTGTTATGGTTACTCTGTCTAACTGTGTTAGATTGTAAGCGGCGTCATCTTATAAATATTAAGTATTCTTCATTATGCCAACAAGGAATAGGATCCGCTTGGATGGTTGTCTATGTGGTATAGTTCATCCTTATGGTTGTGCTTTGCGTTTATAACATTTTCGCAACATCAGTTGTCATGGCCATAAGCATTGTGTGTTGGCTTATTCATACATTTTTAATAACTTTTCTTGTTTTTTAAGCTGAAAGCTCAATTGAAAAAGCAATCATTTCACATACACTTACTAGTTGTCAACAGAGGGATGATATACTGCTTCCTTCACCGATAAATACAAATGAAGAAACAGAATTGCAAAGCAGTATTACTACTTAAGAATACTTGTCTCTCCACGTCCGCGTGCTCCTTTGTTAAAGATTGCAATTTTTTTAATAAGACTTTTGTCGAAATCGTCTATATTTTCAGTGTCATAATCGCTCACTTTACATGCAATATTGACAGAATCCACGCATAGCTATTCTGTTAACCAGTTTTTGCTTCTTTAAATATTCAACATGTTATAAATTGATTTATAGCCTGTTTTGCAAATGTGATTCTATCCTTTACGACATGCCGATATTTTGGTTTCGCTTTATCGTAAGCAAAATGGGATAGGGAGTCGTTAAAAAGGACTGCCAGAATTGCTTGTGATTATTTCTTAACATCAAGGATTTTTTATGTAGTACATCGCTTGTCCATGAAAGTCGGTAAGATAATTCTCCATATTGTATTAAATTGTCAATCATGGGAAGCGGTTGTCTTACGGCATATGCTTTAAGATTGCTCGGCAGAAATATACAACACATTGCAAATAAGTTCTGATCAGGTTACAAACAATAGCAATGTTTATGCTTTTGTTTTTATTGTAAGATTTAATCTTCTAAATTTATGAATGTTCTTTACTTTGTGTATATTGATTATAAAGTCTAGCAAGTTTAGGAAGAGGAGCTCAATAATAATGTGTTCACGGCAATCAGAAAAGCACGAGAGGGATTGGTTTTTGGATGCATTTCGATAATCTTAATCAGTCGTTGTCTTACCTGATGTTTATCAAGGTGTGTCTGTGAGGTTTCGAGTTTTAAAGGCATTGAAAGCTTTTGCAGATCAGAATCATAAAACAGAGAAAGAAGCAGCAATGCGAAGCAAGGAGCAATTTCTTTTCCAGATTGATCATCCAATAGAAATAAGGAATCTAGAGTGATCCATGAGGGTTTAGATTCATTTAGTGTTAACAAAAGTTTAGGCGCTTGTTTGCGAAAATTTTGAGCACCCTTCTTACCAGAATCTATCGGGCAATGGATTTCTTGAGGAATATTCAATGCCTGAGAAGAGAAATTTACAGCTAGAAAAGTTCTTTTATTTGTCAAAGAAGAAAATTTACTTCGATCTCCGATAAATATATTTGTCGGTTTTAGGTGGGTGAGGGCATTCGAAACCAAATTTGCATCAGCGATACAAGTGTCATTACTGGAAACTTTTGAAAGCAAATTTTGAACATTTGGAGCATAATCTTCCTCTGAAAAAGATAAAACTTGGTTTACGTGATTCCAAAACACCAAAGGACCAAGTCCGGAAGCCCATTCTTCTTCATCATCTGCAGCACCTTGGACATACAAAAATCCATACTCTCTAGAATAACCGTCATGCACTTGCTTGCTAGCTGTGACGAGTACTACTGTATGGTAGTCTTCAAATTGAGCGGAAGAAAGAGTGCTGTTTGGCGTGGCCCACAACGGACGCATAGGCTTCTGCAATTTTGAAGAAATGAACTCCAAATTGATTCCTGAATTCATTAGTAAATCCACAAAGCCATCTAATTTCTGGCTCATCGCAGATCGCTCAGTTTCTGGAAGATAAGGAGGAAAAAAGACAAGCTGACGATTTTTTAGATCATGGGGACGCAGTCTCTCAAAAACGCATTTGTTAAGGGTAGCAATCCAAATGGGAACTGTTTTCGATAGCGCATCAGGCATTCGTTTGCCACGTCTCGTAGAATCAACGAGGACAATTCCACCATAGGTATGTAATACGTCAAGCAGGTGCAGATTTAATCGACGTGTGCTAAAGGACCATTGTCCTGTATGGCCATCTGTACTCTTAAAATATGCAGAAATAGGTGCATGAATTGGTTTCACATACCAAGTTCCACAACGTTCGTTAACAACGCATTTGAAGTTAGGATAGCTTTCAAGAACACGGTCAATAAATTCCGAATCATGAAAAATTGACAACAGACGATTCCTTCTGTAGTGCAAACACAGTTAGTAGAATAATTTTTAGGGATTCCATTTTCCATGCATGCTATGCTTTCCACCAAACATCGTCGACTTTCACTGGAAATCTAGTTCAGTCATGTTTAGGAAACGGCACTAAGAACCACTCTCAATATTCGGATGTTTCTCTTCCCCCGTCATTGCCAAGCTTTCAAAGGAAAAATATCAACCTGTAAAAATGAACACTTACGGATGTCTAGCTTGCACATGAATATGCTGGATAGCATTTAAAGAATCGAATTCGTCCATTCGTTCAAACCAGCACTTGGATTCTGGCTAATCGTCGATAAGTTTGAAGGTGTGGTCGTCAAGGCAGAAGGCATGGATTGCACTGACTGGTTTTCCACACTTTCCTGAAACGAATGTAACGTAGTACTTCTTGCGACATTTTCTTTTGTATGAAAAACGATATTTAAAAATCCCATGTTGCGAAGACTAGCTACCAAAAGATCATGCTGGCGAGCAAATTCAACGACATAGGCCTCAATATTTGCTATTCGCTTTCTATGCACGCTTCCAAATACAAATTCTGAAGCATATAAAGTTATTATAGAAAGGAATATATCCAATAAATTTCCAAAAGTCCAAGGACAAAAGGCAATACACAACTTTTTATTCAGCGTATGAATAAAAACATTCCAGTCTTTCACAGAGACATATGGCTGTAAGGCAAGTGGGAAATTTGTAGAAAACTGAGGGTATCGATCACCAGAAACAGAATAATCTCGTTCAATGCGTATCAGCATTTATATTCTCTGTTTCTAGAGAACAGAACCGTCTTGTTTTGGGGAAGTAAAGACAAGCAAACAAACAAAGTTTTTTTTTTGAAATTGGTGACAAATTGAAGCGAAATAATAAAACAGAAGAACAAAAACGGTTTGATTTGCTCTTTTAATGAAAAAAAAAAGATTCTAGGAAGGCGGAGAGGGATGACACTTGTCCATGGCAAATGAAGGAAATAAAAGCTACTTATATAGGATCATGGACTACTTTACAAGGGAATTGGACTATTGAATAAAAAGAAGGATTTATTTTTTACCTTTATTTGACTGCAGTTGTTCCAGAGAGACGCTGTTCTTTTGTATTCAGGATTATCCTGAAAACAAGAACAGATAAAGTCATGAGAAGGAAGTTGTTATGATAGGAAAACTATCTAGGGTTTGTTGGCGATATTATGGAATTCTTTGGAGCTACAAAAGTTATGGGAATACTGAAAAGAGGCTCCGTCTATTTCTAGGCACAGACGAAAGAGAAAGGCATAGTTATACGGTGTCCCTGTATGAGTACAAGTTATCTGATGAATTTCAGATGTTTTTTTTTTATATAGAATTCTTTTACTTGGATTTTCGTTCTTGGAATGTCTCCTTTTGTATTGAAGTGTGTGAATCCTACACATCAAAGTTACACTTATTCAAGACAGTTTCAAGCCTTTACAAATTAAAAGGATCTTTACTAGAATGGGCTTTGTTGTCTTTTCTCTCTAAGGTTAACTCTTGAACGCCACTTAGGAACATTCGCAATTCCTTTCAACGAGGGAAGCTTAAGAGAGATCTATCACCTATTATAGATTTGGTCTAGTTAAAAGAAGAAAAAAGAATTGATTGGACACGTTTTAAACTACGAGAACAGAAGTTCCCTCACGCACGATACTACTTTCTAAAGTGACCTTGCATGTAATGTGGATAAAAAGTTGTAGGATTTCTGAGGACGTTGCTGAAACAGCATGTTAATCGATGGTTTCTCATCAATAGAAGTTTCTTTTCTTACAATAAACGAGGTTCTTTTCACAAACCAATTTATGTCTCTTTGATTCTCCTTTCAAGCATCCCAAGATTTTGCTTTACTATCTTATGTCCAAATGTTAAAATAGGGCATTCAACACATCCAATATCGTTGAATGTAGTTCAAGTTAAACAAGAAACCAAGAACAAACCTGATGAGCAGCAGCTAATCCTTTAGGGAAAGCACAGACTGTGTCCTTAGTACAAATACAACTCAGCACAGATAAATATCCATTGCGACCCATGTGACAAAAGCGCCCTTCTCCAAAGAATGCACCAAGAAAACAAAAGCTGTCAGCATTTTCCCATTGCATGTTTATAGAAGCCATGTTCATGCCTTTGTTTATTATTCTTTCGTAAGTAAATAGACATAATTAAAGTTGATTTAAGCGAATTTCCTTGGCCTCTGGAATTTCTTAGAATGGAATGATTTTAAATTCTCAGGTAACAGGATGAACATGCTACTTGTTTGTGAAACCATTCGACACGAACTTGTCCTCCCACCAACACCAAGCCAAAATTCAATTCTCTTGAAAACACGAAGATTTGAACGATTTCCTTTTCATTTTCGTGACTCCTATTTCCAGTTAATTTACTGATCTTTTTTGAGTTGATTTGCATTTCAATATGAACAACAACGCTCCTGTTGCTACTAATGAACCTCTTCCTCCTGTTGTACAGACGTCATTATTTGATGTTGGTGCTAGAGTGTAAGTAATAAAAACTTTGGCACATATTTGTGCGCCAAACGACTCTTGGTATCTTTTAGATTGATTGAGCGAGCCATTATGATTGCATGTGAATGAATGCTAACCCATATAGTCGTAAGGGTAAGAATTTTTAAAATTTGAAAGCTTCTAATGGACTTGACTTGTAAAAAGAGTGCCCAAAGACATTTGTCAAGTCATTCAAATCGTTGCTTGAATCTAACGTGTCAACGAACTGAAGGTTGATGGGTTTCCTCATCGGCTCTTGGATATGCATCATGGAACAACTAACTAACTAATGTATAGCTGTTCAAACTGGTTATAAATTTGACCAACATTTGTTCCCTTCTTACCACAAGGAGACGACTGATCGAACTGAACTTCCTCAACAAAAACATGATCCTTCTTTGCGCTTAACTGATTTGAAAAGTGAATTGGCTGCTGACTCTATCTTTTGGGATACTGCTTCCACTGATCAAATTGCTGAACAATTCGCTAACCAACACTTTCTCAAATCTCATTGAACCAAGTTTTTTAGAGCCATTGATTATCCATTGAAAAGAATCAATTCAATCGCTTGCTTTTCGGTTACCAGAGCTAACTATTTTATTTGTTTTTCTTTTTTACTGTTTTTTTTTGTTTATTAAAGCATGCTCTTCTCACCGATCGTTATTACTGTATTTATATTTCGCCTTTTTTCTGTTTTCTTCGTTTACAAGAAAATTGAGCATGAACTTTCTTTAGTTTAACTTAGAAAATTGCATATTCTAATTAAAAGAGACTGTTTGCTGTAGAAACTAGTAAGGATGAATGTAAACAGGATATACTATTAAAGTATTTCCAAGTAAATAAGATCTATGATGAAAGAAAAAAACCCCAAAAAAAAACCTTTTTATTAGTAAATGAATATTCAGCTGTAAAGCCGTGTCTGTTTCCATATCTAAACCAATAAAGCCCCAAATCTATGAATACAATGCAAAAAGCAAAATCCCATTCTATCAGCATCTTCTAAGGTGCCATATTTTTTGGAAGACGAAGCGTTCCACCAACAAACTTTCCAGGCAAAGAAAAAGTTCCAGGAACAAATCCCTTCTTTTGCTTTTTGGGTTGTTTTGCCTTTTTTGCCAAAACTGTACCACTTTCTCTGGCCTCCTTCTCGATAATCCGATCAACATGTTTCCTTTTTTGAGCCATTCCTCTTCTAGCAGCCATTGGCATCTTTTGTTCTTTCTCCTTTCCTCCTAGCTCTTTAATATGTTGTTGGATAACTTTTTGTCGAATCTTTCCGTGGGCTACAAGATTCGTCTCTCCCGTGCGTGAAGAGGCCTCATGAAGTAAGTGAGATTCTCGAAGAAGTTTTTGAAGCTCTATGTCGTTCTTTAAATCTTCAGCTTCATTTTCGGGGGTTTCGTCTTTTTCTTCGCCTCTGGAGGACTTTCTCCTGAGCAGTTCATTCTTTCGTTTGATTTTCAAATCTTCTTCAGTTTCCAATTTTGGCATTTTCTTAAAAAACGAGCTTTTCCCGGGTGCACTCAAAACAATCGGCTTTTCCTTCTCTTGATGAGATATTCTTACAATGGAAGAGGACGAAGAGAAAGGTGTCCATTCTTCTTCCTCAGAAAAATTTTGCTCTGATTCCTCTTGATTTTCTTCATCACTTCCTTCATTGTCGTTTTCTGACTGTTCATTCGAACTTTGAACCTGAACAGGCAATATTCCTTCCACGTTACCAAATTGGGCTTCAAAATGCTTTTGCAATTTCAATAAAGCATCTTGCTCCTCCATATTTTCTTTTATATGACTGAATTCAGTTTCAATTCTTCCTGTCGACAAAGGAAGGTGAACTTGGCAAAGGGTAAATACAGCATCTTCTGCCACTTCCTCTACAACTGTTCAAGGAAGACCCTCTTTTTGGTAAAGAAAGCCATTTATAGGAAAGAAACTAATTATTTGGATAAAAATTCAATAAAAGAAACCCAAAATATGCCACAGCATACACTATTTCGTCCTTGCATTGATATTCACAAAGGCCAAGTAAAACAAATTGTTGGTGGAACTCTTGAAGATGACGCTAGTGTACAAACAAACTATGTATCTTTGAAACCAAGCAACTACTATTCTCAGCTCTACAAGGAAAATCAATTGCTAGGAGGCCATGTTATTATGTTGGGACCTAACTGCGAAGAGGCTGCAAAGACAGCTCTCCATGCCTGGCCAGGTAAGGTCGTTGATTGAAAAAGAAATATTTGTTGCTATGGCTCTATTGAACTAACGAACTGCTTCTAAGGACACTTACAAATTGGCGGTGGAATCAATAATACAAATGCAACATTTTGGTTGGAACAAGGAGCTTCTAAGGTAAGTACAATTTCGTCGAAGATTTCTCAGATGAAACATGATTTTATTAAAACAAAAAGAGTTCTAAAATGCTGGATCATGGCATTTAGAATCACTGGAAGATAGAGTGCTTCCTCTCAAAAGTCATTACAAAAAGTCATCAAGAGAACCAAAGAAAAAAGAAAGATTATTTTGAAAGGTTGCTGAATAAATACTGATCATTATATTAGGTGATCGTCACATCTTGGTTATTTCCAAATGGTCAGTTTGATTTGGAAAGATTGAAAACCATCTCGAATCTAGTTGGCAAAGACCGTCTTGTCGTCGATGTTAGGTAAGATTTGAAGCAAATATTAGTTGAAAATTCATAAAGAGGGACCCGGAAGTTATTAACGAGATATGCTTCTAGTTGTCGTAGAAAAGGAGGTGGATGGTTTGCAGCAATCAACAAATGGCAGACCGTGACAGAATTTGGAATTACAAAAGAGAACTTGGATTTGCTGTCTGCCTATTGTTCTGAATTTTTGATACACGCGGCTGATGTGGAGGGATTATGCCGCGGTATTGACGAGGAGCTTGTGAAGAAGCTGGGCGAGTGGGTAACCATTCCTACCACCTATGCTGGTGGTGGAAGAAATATTGAAGATTTAGATTTAGTGAACACATTAAGTCATGGAAAGATAGACTTAACAATAGGTAGTGCGTTAGACATATTTGGCGGGAACTTGGGATTCGCTCGAGTCGTCGCTTGGAACCGACAATTTGCTCCATTGTCTCTCTAAGATGAGACATTTTTCTTTCAAATCTCCAGAATCGATAGTCCGCTCTGCGAGAGTAGTTTCGGCACTCTTCTCGCTATCCAACTTGAATTGGGCATGACGGCCCACGCTAGTATGTTTAATGAAGGGGCAGCGAACGACCAAAGACCACAGAAATATGGCGACTTTATCTGTCCATTTTCCGCTTGTGATGAAAAAGATAGACATAACAATGAGAACTGTGGGAGGAATCCAGTTATTCAAGTAAATAGAAGTTGCTTGGAAGAAATCGACTGGAACACGATGCCAAAGACTCATCAAATAATGATCAACGGCCATGAATTTATGTCCCTTACAGTTAACAATGAGAAGGTAAAGAGTGAGTGGAAAGTAACCCAAGAAGAAAACGGCATCTAAGAGGAGAAGACGGAGAAAGCGCTTGGAAGTGAGTTGAGAGTCGCGTTGAAAGAATTGCTGAAGTTCCTTCTGGCGATGCCAATAATAGTAAAGGATTCTAGAGACGAAGAACAAACCACCGAGGGAAAGTAGACAAGGAGGAAGATAAAAGAAAATTAGTGTGTACACTGTTTGGTAGAAGGCAGGCATGCAACCATTCATGCAGATGACTACGTAGCGGTTGCTCTCCATAGGAACCATGAGGGCCATAATAACTAAAGGGAATACGAGTGACAATAAAATCTGAAAGACCCAGTCTTGAAATGGTTTTAAAGGACGATCACTGCGAATGACTTTGTCGAGGTAGAGAACCAGTGTGAATGCAGATGCTGGAATTCCAATGCTTGAACTTGTGATAATTCGAGACGTGAGATCACAAAAACCATAGCCAAGCCATTTTGGCTCAGATGTGTCATGCCATATAGCAGATTGTACGGCATAGATGAGTGAGCAGATACAGACCCAAAACAACAGTAGCAAGCAAGGAAGGTTACGAGCACGCATCTGCATATAAAACACTTGTACAGATAGCACTAGAGAGAAGTAGGCATAAACCTGATAAAAGATTGCGATTGGAAGCATTGCAAACAAAATGAGAATAAAAAAGAATGGAAGGAAAACAAGCTTTAAAGTAAAGTAATGTGTGTAAAAAGAGATAAAATAACAGAAACGAATGAAATAATAATCAGAAGATATCTGCCAGCCAAGAATTCGCTTTCAAAAAGAACCCAACAAAATTAGCGCAATCTAGTAAATCCAAAGAAAAGCGCAATATGATCAAAAGTTCAAAAAAAAAAAAGAATAAGTTATATATAGAATAGAGTCCTAATAGCAAAACAAAATATCTGACCAACTCAAAATGACAATCCTGCACGTTAAGAATTTACTGTAAACAAACCAATTCAACTCAAAAATATTCACTATAAAAAGCGGCTATAGGCTCACTTAAATTCAGTAGATCAATTCTTTCTTTGGCTTTGGAATTGACGAGAATTTAGTTCTTATATAGTAAAAATTGCCAAGCTTCATAAATCGCCATTTTCATAGTTTTAGACAACAAAGCATAGAACGCCGTTTTAGAAAATAAAGATGCAATATCGTTACCCCTGAGCTTGAATGCTTATTTTGTTTAAACTTTCAGAACAATAGAAAGAAAATTTTGCTTTCCTCCAATAGAAAAGCTTATATTTTAAACTTTTTTACAACCGAACTGGGTCCAAGATGCCTTCGTATTTACTATATGGGACTTTTATGCTTTTCATGAACAAGGAAGAAAGAAATTGATTAGCGGCATTTGTAAACAAAGAAAACTTGATAAATGAAAACGGCGATTAATGTAACAAGAACAAAGCCCGATTGAGATATGTAATCCAACCGTTTCAGATATTAATTGTATACCATGTTAAAAAAACGTAGTTCGTTTTATTCAGGCGGTTTTATCAACCGATTGTTTTGCGTTCAGTCATTTTTAAAGACAAAGGAGACTACAAACTATGGATTGCTGGAATTCTTCAGTATATTCTACACATATATACATAAGCAAATACATATAAATCCATCCTTGCACAAGCTTTACCCAGCTAAACATAGTTCATTGACTATTTCATACGTATGTCTAACAAAATTTAACAATAAAAATATTATACCATAAAAATCATTATGTATCTGCAACACGACTGTTGATCCATACCATATCCAAATCGTTCCACAGAGTAAATTATCCAGTGGGATTTTTCTTTACCAACAGTCCAAAACATTAAATTTAGCGAAATAAAAGCTCTTCATGTAGAAATTGAAAGAGCCATTGTCGAATAGATTACAAATATTTTTCGATCTTTGTAGATAAAAGACTGAAAGATAAACCCGAAAACTTTTAGAAGAGAAGAGAGGGGGGGGACTTTTTGATAAACAGGATGCATTTTCTTTTTTTTTTCTTTTTCTATATCAAACCGCTTTCTTTAGTCAAAGAATAAAAGTATGAATCTTTCTTTTCAAGTAGTTCCTTCGTAGGACCAAACTCGACTACTTTACCATGATCCAATACAAGAATGCGATCCGAATCCATGACAGTGTTTATGCGGTGAGCAATGGTCAAAATCGTACGATCACTAAATTTATCTCTAATCGTACGCTGAACAATGGCATCCGTTTCAACGTCCACAGCGGCTGTTGCTTCATCTAATAGCAAGACACGTGTCGGCGTTAGCAATGCACGAGTTAAGCACATCAATTGGCGTTGACCAGATGAAAGGTTTGCACCTCCTTCTGTAATGGTGGAGTCCAACCCATTTTCTAAACTGGATACGAATCCGTTCAATGATGCAGATTCTAAAGCTTCCCAAATTTCGGCATCGCTATGCACATACTTAGGATCTAGGTTCTCTCGAAGGGTACCCTCAAATGCTTGGTTTTCCTGGGGAATAATGGCTAATCTGGATCGCAAATCCTCTAGGCCAATCGTGGACGTATTTAAATCATCCAAAACAATGTTTCCTGTCGTGGGCTCAACCATGCGGAACAAAGCCAAAGTTAATGTAGACTTACCCGCTCCCGTTCGTCCAACAATTCCAATTTTTTCACGAGGCTTGACATCGATATTGATGTCATCCAAAACCAATGGAAGGTTAGGGCGGTAGCGTACGCTATAGTGATTAAATTTGACGGCACCCTGGTAAGGCCATTCATCAGAAGGACGATGCTCAGGTATAATAGCTGGTGCCTCGCTCTCGAGGGCAATGTATTCTAACATTCTCTCAACAGACACAATATTGGTCTCAACATCTACAGATTGACGAACCACAAACGTCAAGCTCTGAGTAATTAGGACAGCGTAAGACAACGAAAGACCAACGAGACCAGAATTTGGGCTTCCTCGAATAGCCGAAAGGATACCCAAAAAAGCGGCACTGAAGACAACAGTTGCACCTATCACCTCAACACGAATACCTTGCCAACGATTGGAACAGAAATATAGGAACCAAAATCTATGGTTTGTATCAATTCGAATGTCATTTTCAGATGTAAAAGTATCCATCATGTTATATGCACGAATTGTGGAGAGACCACCCAAAGATTCTTGAAAATGAGCATATAAAGGACTACGAGTAACACTATCCAACCTCTTGAGCTCTCTCGATGTACGAGTATAATACACCTGACTGTAACGATACAAAAAGAATAAGGGGACAACCAATATTAAAAACATAGGAGCGGAGTAACAAATGACACCCACCACAAAAATAATTTGGAAAAGGTTGCGGAAAAAAGACATAAGTACTCTAGAAATTACTTCGTCCACGCGAAATACATCACTAGAAAATCGATTTAAAATTCGGCCTGTTGGTGTAGTTTCGAAAAAGCTCATAGGGGCGCGTAAGACGGAGCGTACCATGGCATCATGAAGTGCTTTACAAGCACGTATGGCACAATGAACCGTGATTACCAAACTACTATAGGAAACCAAACCGCAAGACAATAAACCAAAGAGTACGTAAACAGACAAGTAAAAATAAGGTCTGGGGTTAAAGCCATTGTCGGTGTTAATTTCACTCCAATGCTTAAGCCAAACATTAGTTCCAACGTTCATAGCGATACCACCAATGATGCAAATAAAGTACAAAGCAATAAACCAAAATGAACAAGCTTTAAAATAGGTCCAATATACTTGCCATCTCACTTTTCCTTTTTGAGTTGTTTCAACCGTTTGCTTGGTAACTTTACCAAGATCATCATCAGTTAGCTTTTCACGTAGACGGCCACTCTTCTTGAGCACTGCTTTAGGATAGTTACTGACTGTGCTTGAAGAGCGACTTAGGCTATTAACATCAGTAGAATATCCGCTAGCAGAGGGAGCCAGAGAAAGAGAGGATCGACTTTCACTAAGGTTAGCGCTGTCACTCATACTGTAATCCGAAAGTAACTGGAAAAGTTGAGAATCAGGAGAAGTAGAAAGTTGAGCAAAACTACCGGATTCCACAATTTTACCATGGCGCAGCATATAAATTGCCGCAGCTTCCTTAAGGACAGTCAAAGAATTGGTAGCCAATATGACACAACGAGACTTCAGTAAACCACGAGGACCAAAAAGGTTGTTAATCAAATCTCTGTTGACGTGTTGGTCTACGGCGGACAAAACGTCGTCCAAAAGGTACATGTCTGCCCTTGAATAGACAGCACGAGCCAAAGAAATACGAGCTTTTTGTCCACCAGAAAGAGAGATACCTTTTTCGCCAACTTCGGTTTGATCACCATCAGCAAATATTTCAAAGTCACGTATTAAACAGCAAGCATGAATAGTTTTTTCATAAAAGTCTGCATCAAATTCTAGTCCAAAAGTGATATTTTCTTGAATAGTTGCGTTTAAAATCCAAGGTTGTTGAGCAGCATAGGCTACACTGCCACAACGAAAAACGGAACCGCTGAGCTTGTACATATTACCCAAGCAAGCTTCCAATAAAGATGATTTTCCCATTCCGACGCGGCCAACGATACAGGTCAATTCACCTTTCCTCGCTTGAAGGTCTATATTTTGGAGAACGGTTTCGACCTTTCTACCATCACGTTCGTCCCATGAGAATGAACCTCCCTTAATCTCCAAAGAGATACTTCCGGGCTCTTCAACAGCCGGGTAAATTTGAACAGCATTAGGATCTAATTCGGAAGACACCAAAAAATTGAAAATACGGGACACTGCGACAGTAGCTTCCAATATTGAACTAACGATAACCGGAAGCATGGTTAAAGGAAATTGCAATAGATTAAAGAGTGTCAAAGCAGAGAAAACCACATCGACGGTCAAAGTTCGAGATTTCCCGTAAAGAATAACAAATGTCGCAAAAGTAGCGGAGGAAACGAGATTTGGAGCAAAAAGCCAAGTAAAGTTGCCTATGGTATTAATGTAACCAATTTTCTTAAGCATACGAAGTTCCTTTGTATTACGCAATTTTAGAAGCTTTTGCATGAAAATGCTTTCCCAAGCATAAAGTTTGATACTTCGAATGTTATTGATGATTTCGGTCATCAATCTAGAACGAGAATCCTTGTTATGCATTTGAATGTTTTGGAATCGCTTAAAAATATTAGCAATAAAAACATTACAGGGCAGTAAGAGAACTGTCACAGCGACACCAGAAAGAGCACTAAGACCCAGCAAACGATACAAGCTTCCTAAAGCTAGAATAATTTGGAAAGGTCCTGAAATAGTAATGAATAAAAACATAGTGAGATCGCTGACCTTTTGGGTATCGACGGACATGTAGTTGACGATGTCACCAATAGAACGGCTTTGTCGAGCAGCACTAGAAAGACGAAGAGCTTTGCGATAAATGGAAGTAATTAATTCAGATCTCCAACGCATGCCGAGAACCATAGCCATCTGCAAATATTGCTGAAGCAGTATGGTTTGACAAAGAGAAGTCAAGAACATAGACATGGCAAGCAAGAGACCTTCAGCGACAGGTTGTGGTTGCGAGTTAGCATAAGAACTGACGAACAAGATAATTCTCTGAATCAAGTTAGGCTGAACAAAAGCCAGAATATCCTGAGCAAACTTTAAGCAAACAAGTTTAACAATCAATTTCCAGTGAGTTAAAAACAAGACCTTCCACAGAGTAGAGGATTGTTTTCCCTTACTGGAATAATAAATCCAGTTCGATTCAAAATTAGATATTAAATCTCTAGATCGCTCGCCATGGGGAAGGGACCAAGCATTCGACTCGGAGAGATAGTTGCGATAACCAAATTTCATGAGAGGACTTAGCCAAGAAAAAAAGATTTTTGAAAAGATATTGGCATACGTAAGTCCAGATGGACACAATCCAGTCTCCTCAAGTTCGTATGCATCCTCGGGATACCAAACACGATTTGAGGGAGGCACGTAAAGTTCCACTAGCAGAGCAAGCAGCGAAAGAATGAAAGTCGCTACTGCCAAAAACTTGGAGATATAAGGGAAGTTAAAATTGATCTTTAGCAAAATGATGGTAAGAGAAGAAATACATTTTAGTGCGTAAAACAGCAAAAGTGAAGCCATAGGAACTCGCAATGTTGATTGTTCCGTAAGATGTAAAAAGAGAGCAAACAGAAAAGTAGTACAGGAATGTGCATTCCAAGAGTAATGTTTTGTTTTAGCAGCATCATACATATGGCACCAAATAAGTGCAAATAGAAGGGCTACTTTAAGCCGGATAGTCCAAAAACGATTAAAGCGAACATTGAGTGCCCGTTTACGAACATCTATTATATATTGAATGGATCCACACAGAATTAAAAATAAATTGGGTGCATTCCAGAGCAACATCAATAAGATATATCCCTTGCCATTTTGGATAGACGACTTCTCTGACAGGAGTGGACTCAAGTCTGCTTTTGGTCTCATTTTTACCAAACCTTTTCAAGTCTGGCCGAAATATAATAAAAGCAGTTCGCCGACAACCTCCTTGGAAAAAAGCGTTTGATGCAAATCTGTTTGGTTAAGGCAGCGTACAATTCTTCCTTTGCAGTTCTTGCTTCAACTACTAATCCAAGTAGCAATGTTCTTTGATTTTATCAGATGCCCCCACGTAAAACTGAAACTTAAATTGCGACCCCTCCTACCTGTTTCTTTTCTGATTGTTACTTAACTACTGAAGGATTTTGTCAGCAAAGTTCCAAAGGTAAAAAACAGGTAGAGAAAGACTGCCAACTGCTCCTCATTTCTGTTCGGTCAATGCTGCCCGAGCTGATGTTTTAGACTTGTGATTTCAACGGAACTTTGTAGGCACTTAGGGATTGCCAAGTATTCCAGCTAGTTAAATGCATTAACAAGACGCAAGTAATATATATGGAATTATCTCTAACGGAGTAAGAAAGCTCTTGTAGCTCAGTGGTAGAGCGCTTGCCTAGTAAGCAAGAGGCCCAGTGTTCGAGTCACTGCTGGAGCAAAATTTTTCTTACTTTGTAACTGGTGTAAATAAAAATTTATTTTTGCTTAGATTTTGTGAAAATACGAGGCCTGGCTTCAACTTACTCACGAATGGTTCAGGAATCGTTTTTTAGGTAATCGTACTATAGAGGTTTTTGATGTTTAAAATGATAAATATAAAATGTTGTTAAAAGTCTCGCATCACGTTTATTCAGGAAGTCTGTATATATCAAAGAGATGAAGAATTGGAATTGTTCGTACTTTATTCTTCGACTCAGACTCCAAGGATCCCATTTTCATCATTTAGCTGACTCATTTTCTTATAGGTAACCACAAGTGACAGTCGTTCATTCAAAGACAGCAAAAACCGTTTTCCCAGCAGAAGACTCATGAAGGTTTGTTTTTATTGATGCTTTTATTTAAATAGATTTGGTTTCGTGTTTTTCTTTTGGATGTCGAAGCTTAGAGCTATTGGAACTTGATCAAGATGATGGTATGGTTGGTACATAAGGTCAAGATGATTCCAGACTATAGAAAGGTTCGGTGCTTTGTATTAAAGCATATAAGCTCAAAAAAGTTTCAAGGCTTCATTCTCCTCCTTTTCGTGTTTGTTGACGTGGTTCAATTTGGAAGTGAAAGCCTAAAAACTCGTTGAAAGCCATTGCTTACTTTTTCTATTCCAACAAACGAATTTTTCTTCAATATCAGAAGCAACGATTTGTTCCTCTCCTTTCCGCTTGCCGTAGTAAAACATCCTAAATAGAATCTAAACCACATACGATGAAACTTGGTTACAGCTGGTTTTTGACTTGCTACCAAGAAAGGTTCAATTTTTTACTTTTAAAGAGTATTACCTCCATTTTTTTATTATCTCGATTGACCACAATTCAAGGAAGCTCTAATTGTTCCCAAGATGACTTAAGGAGCAAACATTAGAAGAATGTCTACAGGCCGTAAGAAACAGAATTCGTATATCCACCGTTGTTCGGAAGACGATACGAGCACGATCAACATCACTCTCTTCCATAAAGTCTCTGTGGATTTCGAAGAATGGTACAATGTTCAGTATCATTCCATCGAAAAGACAACTGAGAAAAAGGATACGATGAATAAAGAATTTTAGAATTGCCCAAGATTATTCAAATGGTTTTGACAAAAATAATGGGAATATTCTGCAGGGTTACAATTCAGTACATATGTGCTCTAAAAGAGAAATAAGGGAATCCAACCAGAAGGTAGGCTTTGGAAAGGTTGTATCCATTGACACTATTCATAAACTGGTGAAGGAAAAAAAGGACTCAAGACCGAATGTCAATCAATTCGATTCGTCGAGAAAGCTTAAACCTGAGTACAAATTCTCTCCTTCCTCCTTGAAACTGTAAAATACTTCTTTTTATCTTTTCTTTTCTTTTCTTTCAATTTAATCTGCTAAGCTATTGAGACTTGTCATGTTGTGCTTTTCTCTTCTCTGTGGTATGGTTTTTTGCTTTGGGTGCCAAGTCGACTCCTTTTTTAATTGAGGATATCGTACCTATTCTATTGTATCGAATGCAGTGCGATTACTTGTTGCCTTTTGTTTTCCGAGGAGCGACAGGTACAATTGAAAGGATAGGAAATTCAATTGGAAAATATGCTTCTGTTTTCTTCTTTTTTATTTATACTAAAATGAAGGAAACCAGAATCCTTTATCTGCTAGTTTTCGCAAAATGCTACAATATATGACAAGTTTAACTTGAAGTGGTTATTTTACTATGGATGCTAGTGACCAAGTAAGAAATAAGCTTACAAATTTTTTCGTTTTCCCATCATGAAAAGTCTAGCACGGTGTTATGTTGCTGAAAAGCATTTTTTATTCTGCCAATTGATGTTGATTATATCATAGGATGGACGCTCTTGGTTTCGAAGATTTAGAATACTACATCTTAGTAAAAGCTAATTGTCGTGTCATAGCAGAAAAGGATTCCCATGCAGAATTGCACATCCTTATAAGTAATGTCTTTTGCAACAATGCAAAACCCAAAGCAGATTTCTTCTCATATTTTATATGTTTCATTCTTTAGAAGAAATGAGATGGCAGAGTTATTATTTTTGTTTGATGAATGACCATTAAGGATGATTTCCCTGGAAAGGCCGAGTTCTCGTGAGAACACCTCTTCTCCAGGATTCCACATGGCAGAGTATTCGTTCTGGTATATTTTAATCTTTTCAAAAATTTTGTTACAAATGTTACATGAGATTTCTGGCTCATTAACCCAAATATACTACGAATCATATCAACACTCTGCATGTCAAAGAGAATTTTTTTTCATATTTAATTAAAGATAAAAACTTTTCATTTCTTTTTTCATTTCTTATTTTATAATTTTCAATTCATATTTCATTACTAGAAGTACTACTGAATATGAATGACCTCAGTAGCTGATTCTTTCGCCATTACCAAGACCATTCGTTTCAAATTAAAACCTGGAACAATAGCTAAATATTTTGACTTGAACTGTCTTTGTCTTGTTTTTTTCTACATTTTGCTATATCTGTGTGCGCTACGTCTAGAATTAGCTGATTCAAACAGCATTCAACAGAACTGGAATTCCCAAGGATCTACTTACAGTGTTGTGTACATCATATAGGAAAAACGTCCTATAAACCTTCACACGGATATTCTGCATTGAATTAAAGGTTTCTTGACTCAAAATATCGAATTCGACGTGAACCTCTATTGACAGTGGCTCTTGCGCATCAAATTACGCGCTTATAATTAGAAGAAATTTTTTTTACGCTTAATTTATTAGAGTTTCTCTCTTCAATCGCATAAACACATTTCAGGACGAATTCTTTTGGAACTTCTTTTCCAAGCTTGGTTCAGTCTGAATAGACCTGTCATTTTTCTCTTTTGTTTTTTTGGCCTTTTTTTTCTACTGTTTATAGCTTGTTCTGATGGACTTGGACGCAAAATTAGAAACATTAAAGTCTATGGGCATCCCGGAACCCGACGCTAGAGAAGCACTAGCAAGATGCGATAATGATGTTGAAGGAGCCGCTGAATATATCTTTGGTGGCCATTTAGAAAAAAACCGCCTCGTTCCTGTCGCCTCTAATGTCTCCTTAGCGTCCTCTCTTCCTAGCTATCATGATTCATTCTTTCTGCCTTCCCCTCAGAAGCGCAGAAGGCTTTCTGAAAAGGTTGGATCAGTTTTAAAACCAAGTCCATTGTTTCCGTCAATCGCTCCTTTTCTGGTAGCCTTAAATGGGATTCCATTTGCCAGAAACGTGCTTATTCAATCTCTAAATGAAAGCGGATCTCTCGTTGATTCGGAGCCCCATCTTTCAGCCTCATACCCTCAAGATCGATTGCATCCTTCTCCATCGTCTTTATCTCGTTTTAGTCAACAATCCTATAACCATCTTGGTTCTCCTGCTTGGTGGTTTGGTGAAGAACCATGTGTTCCTCATTCTTTAAATGCCCGCTCTATTTTGCATTTACAAACTGCAAGAGCCTTAGAATTTCTTACTTCCTCCCATCGTTTGTATCTCGATTCGACTCATATAACCTCTGCTTTTTCCCAATTGCTATCTGAAGAGGGGCTTCATAATCGGTCGCTGTCTGATTGTGATGTGCTTACCTCCTTTTTGTCAAATTTCTTTAGCCATCCTAATCGGAGGTATGAAGAAACCTTTGCTTCCACCTTGTTGAAGGGTGATAGCGGGGAGAAGAAAAATTACATGTTTTCATTTAGCCCAAGCTCAACGCCTGATCTTCGGTTGAGTATAGAATCTTGTTTCGATCTTTTATTGCATCCTCCCTCTATACCCACAAAGGATTGGACATGGATAAGCAAGCCTGCTAAAGTATTTTGCTGCTCTGTCCCAGGAATCCGAACCCCGGGAGTTCCCCGAATCCTACTGACGACAAAAATAAATTTAAGTAAATGCATCTATGAAAACAAAGAAGCAGTGCTGCATCGTTATCAGCTTGAGACAGATTATAAAACAGTATTGAGGGAATGGGAAGATTTATTTAATACACTTACTGGAAGAAAAGTTACAAAGTATGACATTACGGAATTGTTAAGTGATGGTCATTTGCTTTTGAAAGATAGAAACTCGGCATTAGCTAATCACTTGGACGTGATTAAGGAGACAACCAAGAATAAATTAAATACTCTGATTGAGAATACAAACGCCGTACAACACAAACTAGCTTCGTTATATAATGATTTAAACAATCAGTGTGTTCGACGCTTACGGGCGGTGATACTTGAACCGTCAATATTATATATCTGTTTGGATCAACAAACTACAAAGGAGAATGGTCTTCCTCAGATAAGCCCCAGCATGGATTCTCGCCAATGGTATCTAGTTAATTTTACATCCGCAGCTGTGATTACCGACGAAGTTTTACCATGTGATGTAAAGCCTGTAACGTTTGATGAAGTCGAACTCAACTTTGAAAATCATGTCTCATATCATTCTCGATTTTTGGTTTATGTTGCTGATGAACTACCGGTGGATTCCCATGTTCCCTCTATACCAAATACAGTTAAGCAGTTTATTCAAGAAGACAATGAATACTTTGATGATGAGCTATCTGGACGTGCTTTGTGTGAAAGTATTAGCACCCGAAGCTCTAGAAGTAATGATAGTGGTGATGATACGTCCGACTTTGATCCTGAAGATCAAGGATTACAGCTACGCGTTCCTCGTATAAATACAAATGTACGAGGACATCAGTCAAGGAACAGCGCATGCGAGTTCCCTGAGAGTATGCATGTGGAACACAGTAAAGAAGAGTTATGAGCTAGTCGAATTTGATTTATTTTTACGTATGTAATTCATGTTGAGTTTTTCGAGAATATAGGAATCTTTTATATGACTTTCTTTCATGGCAGTTTTGGCATCTTCTATGAGATGCCTTTATAGAAATGGAATTATGATTTGCTTTGATGATTTTTGTAATGCCAAAAAAAAAAAAAAAACCAAAACAAACAAATAAGAATGTAAAAAGAAAACTACAATCTATGAGGAACAAAATGGTGCACTACGATACTAATAGGCACCTACAACTCAAAAGAAGCAATTGAAGGAGGTCTAATACTATACATTGCAAGTGCATTTAAAATAGTTAGAATAAATAAAAGTACGAGTTGCCGAAGAAAAGGCCGAAAAGAGAAGCAATAAGTGCGAAGTACAGATGAATGGTACTAAACAGAGAGTGGACGAAAAGTGAGGATTTGCCAAAAAGAAGTCTTAAATAAATATCATAAGTCATAAAACAAACAACACGATCTTTTAAAAACCCGTCTAAATCTCTAAGTTGCCTTAAAAGAGCATGGAGACATAGAAAGCTAATTGTCATCTCTGGCTTCTAATAGTGTCTGCTTCAAAGATGTCACAACAGGCTTGCCTTTTGTATAGTACTTTTTCTTATGAGCTTGCAGTTTTGCCGTGCAGGGGCTCATTAGGTTATCCGTAGGACTGGTTACTGCCTTGCTCTTTTCCCGACTAAATCGAGGCTCCAATATTTGTTTACGAAGACTTTTGCTCCCTTGATGAAGTGGTTGTACCATGATTTCAGGTGCTTCTTTGCTTTGAGTTTGTTGAACGTAAGCCATTTTTGACGACCTTTTCCTATGAACTTCTGTATTCTATTTGATCCAGATTATGGCTGTTGCAGAGTTTTCAAGGTTCTTGTTTGTTTATATGTTTTGGTATAGGTTACTATGGCAACCACAGAAAAGTAAACAAACACCTACGATCATTTGAACGTCATTAACATGAAGCGTAAAACAATAGAAGAGACCTGATTACTACGTTTATCCTGCTGTTTAAACCCTGTAAACAAAGAAAAAGAAATCAAAAATAATAAAAACAAGGCCAATCATCTATAGTGGAGAGGAAAAGAAACGCTGCCAAATTTCACAATCAAATCTTCTTTTTTATTAACATAATATCTCTACATTATATACAACATGCTCAGGAACACCGTGTAGAACCTTGAAAGAATCCCTTATTTACCCAATAATATCATTAAACAGACATGCCAAAAAAACCCCAAAAGAAAATAAAAAGCTAAATCCAAAATTGTTTAGAAGTCATCCAGTACTCTACCGCTGCGCTGCTTTGTACGCTTGTTTTTCTTGTTATGTTTCTTGGAAGAAGCAGCCAGAACAGCATCGGGAGATACACCTACTTCCTGAGTACTAATTTGACGAGCTTTGCGACGTGACAATGGCTTTCCTTGGGCGTTCATTGGATATTTTGGAGTACCATCATCATTTAAACGACGCTGAAACGATTGAGTCATATTTCTTCCTTTATATTCGATACCCTGAATATCGGCTGCAGCAGTTCCACGAACAAAGGAGCGGACGTGAGGATTTTCTGAAAAGTATTCTTTGTCAATCTCCTCGCTTTCACGGAGAGCCAACTTATCTTTCATAGTTATGTTTTGAAGTTTCCTGCCAATATCTTCAGCCGCTGAAGAAAGATAATTGATATGATGCTCTTTATTGAATTCCATGTCCGAGTCAGGATAATTAGGTGGAGGATGGACATAGATTAATTTACCATTCACGTAATCCTTTAACAAAATTCTTGAAGCTCTCGAGTCATCAGGAGTACCGTGATTCGACCTCATATAACCACGGGCTCGGGCATATGGGAACAAGACTTCTTCGGCTGAGGGAACACCTGATCCACCCTCTTCTTTAGGACGAGTACGGATCCTAATAGTGTAGATGTTTTCAAGCACTTCTTTAGGAATTCTTTGAGCCAACATGGCAGAAGGCCCGGTATGCTCACGCATTTGGTCGATAGGCAAGACACCATCCAAAACCAAGTCTGCTTGGGTAGTTGCAAAAGAGGGAAAAACCAAACCGGGACAATCCAACAAGGTTACCTTGTCTGTCAAATTGATAGTTTGAAAGTGCTTCGTTTTACCGGGAGTTGAAGAAACCGAGACTGTTTTATGACCAACTAAGGCGTTAATGGTAGACGATTTACCGACGTTGGGATAACCCACAAGTCCAAAAGTCAATTTTCTCTTATCTTTTGCAAGATTGTTGGCATAGGTTTCAAAGATTCCTAATAAGGTGTCTAATGTAGCGATGCGGTGATCCTCCGTATGGGTTTCAGAGGCTTTCAGGCTTTCAGGAACACCAGTAGCATCTTCAGCTTCCTCCATGTTTGATTCGGCAGCCAAACGGGCAGAGAAAAACAGATAGGAGATGTTGTGTTGATTAAAGTAAGCGGCCCACCATTTTCTTTGTTCGGTAGTGAGCATGTCAGCCTTGTTTACCAACAAAAAGTTCTTTTTCTTGGGGTCCACTCCCTGAACGTAATGTTCTAAATTTGCGGAACGGAAAAACAAAGGATGCCTGGCATCCACAATTTGAACGACCACATCGGATCGTTCGATGACACGCCATAGTTGTCTCCATATCTGAAGATTACGTTCGAAAGGCGTTACGACAAATCCCTCTACCTCTTGCAATTGAGCCAGACTACGTCGCCATTCTAAAAACGCCTCTTTTTCCATTCTGTCAAGTTCCTCGGGTGTAGTGGATTCGTTCCAATGAGGACGACGAGGAATAGTAAGTCGATCCTTGTTTTGCTCTTGGCGTGCTTTTGATTGCTTTGCCTCTTCTACAGTTGGCAAAAAAGGGTTTTGTTCGGGGTTTTGGATTACCTTCACATTTTGTTTTTCAGCAACAAAATCAACACCACCCAATTCTGCCGTGCTTAGGAATTCATCGAGATTACTCTCCTGAGTTACAGATCGCAAGGCCGGCTTTTTGGCTCTGGGATCAAATTCCGTGGTATGTTTCAATCCTCCTTTCCGGTTTTTACGAGCCTTTGTAAAGTCCGCTTGGATAGCTCTTCCTAGTCCAACGTTATTTCTTGACTTGGGCAACACCTAACTTTGTTAGCTTCCTACCCAATTCCAATTCCAATAAGGATGGTCAAATCCATCCGATGTTGACCAAATCCCGTTGTTTCTTCGCTATTTTCATACCATTTCGGCGATTCAAAAAGATCCTTATAAGAATATTTGTAAAATATTCTCGTAAATTGCCAGTAATGTCGGATTTTTCACGACAAAGGCGAGATTTGCAGTTTGGTAGTTTCACTGTTTAGCCCAAGGCCTCTCCTTAGAAATTGAGAAATTGCTGAATAACGAAGCGGAAGAACAGTCACGCAGAATAGTGAGCTTGAAGAAATTTTAGTGACAATTTAGCGAGGCTTTAAATTAAAGCGGGGCGGGTAGCTTAGCGCTAATTATTTTGCATGTTCTTGCGCGCTAAACAGTAAACAAACACTGGTAGAAATTTTCCCAGGAAAACTCGTTCCTGGGAATGAATAGCCAACGTTGTTTATTGCAAAAAGATACTCAAAAAAGATAGGTTCAATTTTCAAAGCGTTCACCAAACATCGATAAATCCAATTTAATCAATTGCTTATTCACTAATTCATCGCACACTATCGCTAAAAGAGCTAACGTCCCCAAACGAACTCACTATATGCGATTTCCAACTACTCGACTTTGGATGCATGGAAAAGTGTACTTTTCCAAAAACCAGTCGATTTGCGAAATTTGCGGCATTGGTTCCATCGGTTTCGTGGTTTATTAAGAATTGATTGTATAGTGACTGTATTTTGGATAGTAGCATAAAGAATGGTAAGGAATGGAAAATGATTGCTTGTTGGCGATACTTGTGGAAGAAAATTTTAGATTTGGAGAGAGATTCATGGATGCAACAAGTTCATAAAGAGATGATTTGGTTGTTTTCTTCCAAAAACTACCGGAAATGAGAAATATGAGCTAACTCGTGTGTATTAGGGACGTAAAAAATTTGTTGATAAAAACAAGGCACAAACCTTTCACTTAGTTCATCGTTCCCAGAGAGATCCGGAATATTACAATGAAGAAGCAACAGAACGTGTTTTGGTGCCTTCAGATGCGCTAAAGAAATCTGCACGCCAGTTGAATCGTCAAGACTTGGATGAAGAATATGGTGACACGGTGCGCTCGAATGAAGGAGAAGCAGCTGCATATGGTATTTTCTTTGATGATACAGAGTATGATTACATGCAACACTTGCGTGGTACGGGAAATCAAGATGCCACATGGATTGCAGCACCATCCGCTGGAAAAGGCAATGGACAAAAGAAAAAGGATGAAGTTGTCATTAAAGAGGAAGAACCCAGTGGATTGCCAGAAGAGGTGCTTCCTTCAAAAACTGAAATTGAAGCCAGTTACCAGAATCAGCAAAGTGTCCCAGATGCCATATCTGGTTTCCAACCAGATATGGACCCACGCTTACGGGAGGTGCTAGAATTGTTGGAGCATTCTGATATGGAGGATGAGGAAGATGCTAGTACAGAAGCAAATTTGGACGATGAATTCGAAAACCTGATTACTAGTGGAAAAGTGGATGAAGACGAGTTTTATGAGCAACAACTGGAAGAGGAACAGGAACAAGGGTATAATGAGCAAGCTGCTCTAGCTGCAGGAAAATCAGAGTGGGAAATTGAATTTGATAAATTTAAATTAGAACAAAAGAAGCAGCCTCAAGCAGCTAGCAGTGATGGTACCTTCTCTGAAGATGATGAAGAGGAAGAAAGACGAGATGAAGTCCCGGACTTGGTTTCCACTCAGAAGTCAAAGCCAAGAAGAAAAGCCAAGACTGCACAATCTTCCGGTTCCATGTCGAGCTCTGCTTTATTCCGCAATGAAGGATTATCCTTCCTGGATGATCGTTTCGACAAAGTTGAAGAGGAGTACGTTCCCATGAAAGATGATAACGAGCTCTATGATCCCGAACAAAAAGACGTAAATGATTTGATTCATGACAATCAATTCAATAATGTTTTGGACGATTTCTTATCGTCGTATGGCCCCAATCTGGGACGGAAGAAAGCTCCATCACGCATGTCTAAAGCAAAGAAGAAGGCATCTTTGGATGAACTTGATAGTGTTCGTCGGCAATTAAGTCGTGCTCGAATTTGAAATGGAAAAAGGATAAAGTCGGTTTTAGCGGTTAATTTGGCTTTCTTTTTTAAAATTTGGGATATTGGTGGTTTTTCTTTTGGGATGTTTAATATAGAAAATTTAATTATGAGAGATACTTTGAATTCAATTTCCTATTTTTTTTAAAGGTCTTAAGGATTCGTATATTAGAACATATATTAGAACATACAAAAAAGCATGTAAATGTATAGAAGCCTTCGCTCCATAAGTTTAATGACAATTCTTTTGTTGGTAAAGCAAACAAATAGAAGCACTCTTCTTTTCACGTCTTTTAAGGAAAATCACGTTTACAAGCTGGATCTTTTCCTTTTACCACCGCCACGCTTTTTGAATAGCGTATCCGTGTATACTTATATTTTTTCTTTTTATAAGCATATGCTAATCAACAAATGTTTACAACAGCTCGCCTGTATCATTGCAATTAATTACTACCTTTAAAAAAATGGTAAAAATAGTCCCGCCGGGGATCGAACCCGGGACCTTCTGCGTGTGAAGCAGAAATCATACCACTAGAACACGAGACTGAACTTGATATCTTCAGGCTTTTGCCCTATGTATTATTTATGCAGAGTTAAAAGGAAGCTTTCCTTATCCACTTACCAAAAAAGAGGTATTCGAACGACCATACCTGTGAGAAATATCTAAGTGCGTTTTGAATACCCGAAACGTCGGTAAGTCCAAACTTTTATCTGGTGATAGAGATCAAAAATTTGATTTTTGGCTTTAGGATAGGTCGTACTGGGAGTCGAACCCAGATCTCGAGAATCAAAATCTCATGTGCTAGCCGCTACACCATACAACCGTAGTTGGTAAGTTAGGTGACAAAAAAAGATTAGTAGCATTATAAGAAACTTGAAAATAAAATGGATTTTTCCCTAAATATGAGCTATAGCGGAACTTAACTTCACCCTGTAATTACTTGTAATTTAATACTGACACGACCTTGAATCCTATGCAGCTTAACTGCTCTGTCCTGTATGCCTGTTCTTTGCCTTGTTACGCGAGACGTTAAGCTACACTTCACTACAATTCATTACGCTACATTATTAGAAATCAGAAAACATTATTCGATCATGAAAAAAATTTTATTGCGAAAACAAAGACGACATCATTGAGCCCATTTTGGCGTAAAATTTGTCCATAAGACACAATGTGTTTAGCCGCTCGTTATCATAGAAACAGCTTTAAAGCGATCCGATTATTTACTAAATCTCTAGTTAGCCTTCCTATTCTACTCTCAATTTTGATATAAACAAGCACTTACGATCTAGCCCTCATTTTTCTTCTTCTACGTTTAAGACGGCGCACGCGTTTCTTTCTCCATTTATCACGCATGTTGGCGGTGGTGAAACATACTCGTCTTTGGGTATTCTAATATACGAAACTGTGACTGTTTTTGTTTGTTTCGAGTTTTTACAGTCTCCTTCGAATACGTTAACAGTTTTTTAACCGATAGACTGGTGTTTCTTTTAAGATGCATTGTGACCTGGTTTTCAAAAATAAAATCACAAAGATATTTATGAGATATGCAATAGTAATCAAGGCAATTCTGGAAAATAAAAAAGAAACAAAAAAAATTTTATTATACAAAAAACCACCAAATTGGGAAGCAATTCATCAACCATGTAGCAATGGATCGATCTGTAGAGTGATATAAATCCATATTCCTAAATGCCAGGGCAAACCAACAAAATAAGTGGGCTCATTTCTTTGTCAGATTTCAAGCCGAAGGCTTGATGGTCGAAGCAACTTGGTTAGGTATGCTGACTGTCGGCATCGTTAAAAACTTCTTATTGATAGAAGCAGCTTTTTTTTCCCCAGATATAATCCTGATATAGAACCCATCCATTGAAAAGGATATTTTTATAACCCGTTCATTAAAGTTATATGTTTTCATTCCTGTAGAAAAACTTTGTTTCCTCCTAATGTTTTATGAAAAGGGATTTCCCCTAAAGCAAAGTTCATTCATCAACAGTAAACAATCACAATCTGCAAATAAATATGTCAAAGCAGAAAACCAATTGAATTCGCTTAAGCAGCAATGATGACAGGAGCAGATGGATTTTCTTCTACTTCCATAAACTCGTCCTCGTCGTAAATAACGCGGACAATCAAGCTGCAGCTGGGACAACGAGCTACGTCTTCTCCTGAACGAAGGTCATCCTAATCAATTAGTTACGTTTTTTCTTTCAGCGTTCAAAAGGCTTACCAAACTGATTTCGAAGCGATCTCCACAAGGACAAGGAAAAGTATACAAATTGAAGTCAGCGTCTAAACCGTTAGCTAAAGAGCCATCAATTGCATTTTTTAGACATCTAACTTACCAAAAGTGAAATCTTCCAACTCAATTTCGTCGTAAAATGACATTTTGCCTCCCTTGTTCTAAGGTGTTGGTAGATGGAAAGGTCAACTCATCCCAGAGGCAAAACATATAACTTCGCGACCTTTTGGCGGAATGAGGATTTGAGGGTTCTCAAAAATTAGAGACATTTAATATTTAATTTCTATATTCGTACAGATTTTTCTGCCTTCGAAAACTATATAACTTTGCGAATGTTTTGGTTGGAAGGCTCTTCACCGTTGTATGCCACCTAAATATTGATTCATACACTTCGTTTTTTTTTGTTTTTTTTTTTTAGTTATACAAATTCTGTTTGCTTGCTTATCACGGAGGAGGAATGCAATGCAAAGACTCCACTAGCCAAAATGAAGATGAGTCTGTTTCCTCGAAAAACAGGATTGATTGGGAAAGCATTATTGCCAATGAGAATTCTTCATCAGGAGATGAAAGTCTAGCTGAAATTCACCCAAATGTAATGGGTGTTTCTAGGAATGAAGAGGACTCCGACGACATGGATGAAGTACCTTTGATAAAGCTGCAGAAACGTAAAACCCAAGAAAAAAAAGAGAAAAAAGGCTATTTTCCAGAAGAAAATAGAAAGCGTGCTCGAAGCAGAAGTTCTTCAGAATCCAAGGAAAAGGACATATATACACCATTGGAAAAACAATACATCGAGTTGAGAAAAAAATATAAGGACTCTATTCTAGCTATTGAGGTAGGTTATAAATTTCGGTTCTTTGGTGATGATGCAAAAACCGTGTCAAAGGCGCTTGGCATTGGTTGCTACTATGAGCATAACTTTTTAAACGCCAGTGTCCCTTCTTACCGTATTGATTTTCATTTGGAGCGCTTAATAAATGCTGGTCTGAAGGTTGCTGTAGCTCGACAAACTGAAACAGCTGTTTTCAAGTCAACTGGTAATAGTCGAAATACACTTTTTGAACGCGATGTGGTCGGCGTGTATACCAAAGGCACCTTTATTAACGAGAGTACTTCTTGGTACGATCAAAGATCTAATGGTTCTATTCAAGACTCGCAGTACATTTTCTGCGTTGTGGATAATCCCATTTCTAAGAAAGCCCCCTTCGGCAAGGTGCAGATCGGTTTTTTATGTACCCAACTATCTTCTGGAACTTTTATATACGATCAGTTTGAGGATGACATATTAAGAACCAACTTGCAAACAAGGCTTTCCCACTTTCAACCTTGCGAAATCCTCTTTTCAAACGAACTCTCTTCGGAATCGGTCTCTTTACTGAATCATTATATCACGTCGGAGCAAGTTATTGGAAGAAAGATTTGTATTCAAAATGTAAACCAACATACTGCAAAAGCTTCTTTACAAAATGTGTGCGATTTCTTTTCGTCAAAATTTTATGATTATGAACAAGTCATCGTAGACTTACACTTGGAAAAGATAAAATCTTTACCTACTTTGTCTATTGTTTGCTTAGAAATGACGATCTCTTATTTGACTGAATTTTCATTGGAAAATATCTTGACCATGTCTGACTTTTATCAGCCCTTCAGTCACTTTTCTTCAATGATTTTGAGTAAACAAACCATGGACGGATTAGAGGTGTTTTCTAATCAAACTGATCAATCTTCAATTGGAAGCTTATTTTGGGTACTCGATCATACGTATACAAGATTTGGACAGCGTTTGCTACAGCAATGGATTAAAGCTCCTCTTTTATCTGCTAATGAAATCAACAATCGACTAGATGCGGTTGAAGAGCTCTCAACAGGATTCAATGAAAATACACAAATATTGCGCAAACTCTTACACCGGCTACCGGATTTAGAGAAAGGTCTTGCAAGAATATACTATCAAAAGGTATGGTACTAAAACTTTCTTTTTATTTCAGTTTTTTATTTTGCTAATAATTAGTGTTCTCCTTCAGAATTGCTTTATATTTTAAAAGGGTTTTACAGGGCCTCTATTGCTTTTTCTTCAAATCCTAATAATTCTTTTCAATCTTCATTGTTAAACTCTCTCGTAAAGCAGCTTCCAACAATACTATATCCAGTCGATCAGTTTTTGGCTTCGTTTACTCATGCTAAAGCTGCGGAGAATAATAAGTTGGAGATGTTTCAAAATGTCGACGACTTTGATTCTGTTGGAGACTCTTCTTCGGAAGACTCTCAGTCCATCTTGAAAGTTCGTGAACACAAGATGGGTATATTGATGGTCGAAACAGAATTGAATATACATCTACAGGAAATTCGAGACTACCTCAATTATCAAGAATTGAATTATACTACTTGGGGAAACATGAATTTTTGCATTGAGCTATCTAGAGGCTGTAAAAACATACCGGAAGACTGGATAAGAGTAAGCGCTACTAGAAGTCTAATACGTTATCACACTCCGAAGGTGCAAGCTTTTATCCTTGAATTGGCTCAACATAAGGAAGCTTTGGCCGTTTCATGTGAAGAAATCTATATATCCTTCTTAAAGAAGATCTCTGGTTACTACAATGAATTGAGAAGAGTAGCTGTAGCTCTTGCTTCGTTAGATTGTCTACTTTCTTTCGCATGTGTATCTTCACAAACTGGATATGTTCGGCCTCAGTTGACAATACACGATTTCTATGTGGAAGATAGTAGGCATCCTATGATCGAGTTGCTAACTGATGAGCCCTATGTGCCAAATGATATTTATCTCAGTGCTAAAGGTATACAAACATTGTTAATTACGGGGCCAAATATGGGTGGTAAGACATCAATAGTTAAGCAGCTCGCTTTGACATCTTTGATGGCGCAATGTGGATGCTTTGTTCCTGCGAAAAGTGCTCGTTTGCCTTTATTGGATTCTATCCTTGTACGATTAGGCTCGACTGACAATATTTTTCTTAATATGTCCACCTTCATGGTCGAGATGCATGAGACCAACGAAATCTTAAACAAGGCTACGGATAAGTCTCTTATAATTTTCGATGAGCTTGGAAGAGGAACGAGCACCGTTGATGGTGAGGCAATTTCCTATGCAGTATTATACCATTTGAATTATTATATACGCCCATACCTACTTTTTGTCACTCATTATCCTGGTTTGGGTGTTTTGGAAAAGCAATTTAGTCATCGACTACGAAGCTACCACATGGGGTATGTAAGACTGGAAGGAAGGGATCAAAATGCTCAAAATATATCGTTTCTTTACAAGCTGGTCCCTGGAATTGCTTCCAGAAGTTACGGATTAAACGTTGCTAGGATGGCCGGGATACCAATTTCGATAATCCATCGAGCTGAAGAAATAAGTGAAGAGCATGAACGAGATCAATGGTTACTTAGAAAAAACCGCACGTTACTGAAATTGAAACGGTTCATCCAAAGTTACAAGTTCTCACAGTCGGATCTCGAAGAACTATTTTCTTGCTTATCAACTATAGAAACCAATGAATTTATTGAATAAGGCTAAAAGCTATTGACTGTACAATAAAAGGGTTCGTTAAATATGGGTCAAGTGATTTTGGAAAACTCGCCAAAAATTGAATCACGCTTTACGTGTCATAACATTTATTTTTTGGAAAATCTATATTTTATAAAAAGATTTAATATGTCTATATAAATTTATTAGCAGCTCTTCTTCGAAATGTCTTTACCTATGAGATTCTGCAATGAATTCAGTACCATCGATCTATTGACTTACCTTTGTGATACTGAATCTGAACTGAACTCTTTAAAAAATGCTATTTATTATGTATTTCATTGCTTCTCTGTGCTTGCTGAACGGCCATTAAAATAAAAACAGAAAAATATGTTAGTTTAGCAAAGTAAATTGAAATTTTCAAGCAAGCTATATTTTTGTATAAGGTGCTATTCATAATAAATAAAATATTTCTATCTATAAATGTATATTTACCCAGTCTAAAATTTGGACCGTTGGTGATGTGTCGGTATAGCCCTTCTGAGAATTTGCCTTGTACAGTGCAAACCACCAACCTCAGGCATTTTGGTTGAATTTTTGAAAAATGTCTCTTCAACAGCTTTTAGGAGATGAAATTCCTGTATGTTTTTAAAAATAAGTTCTATTTGGACGTTTTTAGCACTCAAAGATGACTCAAATAGAAAAAAATTTTAAGCAAATTTTTTTTGGATAAATAAGCTTACTAACGGCATGAATAGGCAGAGAAGGTTTGCGCTGCTCTTTTAGATTACGAGAAGAAGAAGAGCGAAGAGGACAATGCCGATTCCAAGTTGAAAAAGTCAAATTTGTTAGAGGACGAAGAAGATACTACCTCTACTGTTTGGCTACAGTTGGCTACCTTGAAATTTATTACAAATAATAGAAAATTGATACCTTTTAAAATTCCTTTAAAACACGCTATCATTCCTTCTTCTTATGAGGCTTGCTTGATTGTGAAGGATCCCCAAAGAACTTACAAAGATTTGGTCAGTGAAGCAGGCATGTCCGGTGTCGTTACTCGAGTCATTGGACTTAGCAAGTTAAAAGCTAAATGGAAGTCTTTTGAGCAGAAAAGACAGCTTCGTGATCAGTTCGATCTTTTTTTGGCTGATGACCGTATCATCTCTATGTTGCCTAATGTATTGGGTAAAACCTTTTATTCCAAGACAAAGGCCCCTATTCCTGTTCGTATTAGCAGTAATAATGCTGATCAATTGAAGAAGCAAGTCGTTTCTGCTTACAATGCTACTTATTTCCGTGCGTCTCCTTGCAGTAGCTTTATGATCCGTTGCGGACACACTGCCAATACTCCTCAAGAACTCGCCGATAATATTGAATCAATCCTCAAGTACTTGTGTGAAAAGAAGGTTGTCCCTAACGGTGGAAAGGGTATTTCAAGCGTTCATGTTAAGACTACTCAAAGTATGGCTGTTCCACTCTGGAATAACCCTAATTTGGAAGAGGAGGTTAAGAAACTCCGTGCATCTACTAAGGACAAAGAATCTCCAAAGAGAAAGTCGATTGTAGAAACTAAGACAGCTACTACTTCTCCTAACAAGAAGGCTAGGACAGATTCGACCAAAAACCTAGAAATGAAGCAAAAAGATGAATCAACTAAGAAAGTTGAGGGTGAGGGTAAGGGTGTCCCTCCTCAAAAGAAGGCCTCCGCTGATAACTCTCCACAGAAAGCTCCTCAAAAACAAAAGGCAGAAAAACAGGCTATAACGAAGCAAAACGAGGAACCCCCAAAGAAAAAGGAGTCCGCTAATCAGCAACAAAAAAAGAATGGTTCATCGGTTTCTCCTTCTAAACAACCCGAACAAGGTCCTGCGCAAACAAAAACGACTAATGGGAAAAAGAAGGCAGGCAAACAAAAGGCCAAAGGAAAACAATAAATGGATTTTTTGGGGAATATTAGGAAAGCTGGAACTTCATAGTGAAATTCGATCAGGCATGTATGTATGTACAGATAATTATATTTTGGGTTTTTACTACGGTTGTCGTTAGAAGGAATAATAATAAAGTACCACTATCACTTGATTTATTTTGGATAAAATTTGTTGAAAGATTGCTAGCAAACAGTATCTGGATTCAGAAATTAGAGGTAGTAGATTCTGGTAAAGTCGTCGTTCCCTTACAGTCTTAAACGGTTGGTAAAATTGTATTTATCGTTTGACTCCAAAGCTACTACCCTTGGCAGATTCTGAGCCTGTTCCTGGCTTACCGTCTGGCCAATATGTATACTCTTGTACGAGAATCCAATCCAGCGGATTCTTGCGGTGACTAAAACTGAATCGTAACCAGGTATCTTCTCGTTTCATTATCAATTGCATTGGGTAGCAGATCCCATGCTCCAGCTCATTCATTTTGCCTACAAACACCTGCCATGTTCCGGGGCTTACTTTGCAGGCTGAAAACCATGGAGAATTGAGGTATTGTAACACAAATGGTGTGTAAGAGGAAACTTGGGCTTCTTTTTGCACATCAATGGAGAACCCATTTGTCCAATGATCTGAATGATATATCAAAGGCCCGTATTTTTCTGGAATGTAGGCACGTTTTCCACTAGAATATAATGTTAGTCCAATCTGACTCAATGAATAGGGAAATCGTTGTACTCACCTCTTAATTTCCAGAAATCCGCGATGATGTAGATTGAATCTAAATACCATCTTTTCGGAATTTCTTGTCAGAGGTGCTAAGTATAGTTTATCATTGTCTAAAACAATGTATCGACCGTCTAAACCAGTCAGAGATCGGTCTTCCATTTTGGTAACTACAGACCAAAAAGAAGAGATACGATATCTGTTTTCTTCATTTGCTTTTTCGCTCGCTTCAAGCTCTGCTTTGCTTCTCCAAAAATCCCCCTTAGCGCAATGAGCTTTGCGTGGCAGATTCAGCATGTTAATCACTATTAAGATGGATCGCAGAAGATAAAACAAAAGCATCTTGATGATTTCCTGTTCAGTTGTAGATGTAGCCTTGTATAGTGTCGAGTTGTAAATGTAAACATCCTTTGTTTACTTTTGGAAACTATTAACGAAACTTTCACCCGTAACAATCTGAAAAATTCCTTGTTTAATAGATCATAGACAATGACATTTTCTCAAAATCTGGTTTCCTATACCCTCTCTGAAGAAACAGGCTCTCTTAAGAGAATCTAACGCTCAAGCAAATCCAATTGTTTTGTACAAAGAGGATGGTTTTCGTATTCCTTTTTCACAGAGCCCTTTTTAGGAATTTCAAAGAATAATTCGTTTGCTTTTTTGAGTTCTTCGTTTGTTTACATCGTAGTAAACAAACAAAACAAGTAGTGATCATCAAACAGGATTAAGCTTTTTTATTTTCTATTGAAACCATGTTTTATCCTTACCAATGGTTTTCAGAATCCTTAAAACGCATTTCTATAGCTAGTGCTATTCATCTTGCAAAGACTTTGTTTCGTCCTCCATCCTCAAGTTTTTGCGAAAGCCCTCTTCCATTCCCTTTTTCGTAAATATACATGTTTTTTTTTGTTCATTAGTTTTATTAGCGAGGTTTTTATCCTAGAATAGGATTTGGTTCTACTTCTCTTTCGGTGTTGTTGTATACTTGGAAGAAAATTCATGATATCCTGTATGTAAGGGTAACTGGAATCAATTCTTTTTTGCTTTTCATGTTCAATAAAAAAGAGTTGTACTAACAGTTCTTTTTTAGTCAGAAATGGAGACGTATAATGAGGATATTCCTATGCCAGACGCAGGAGCAGAAAATTTAGGTGGATTTGCTCCATTAAAGCAGAAAACAGAAATTAACTTGAAAGGACGAACTAAGATGGATAATCAAAACGAGTTGATCGATATATCTATGTCGCCTGAAGAAAAAAAGCCTTTAAAAAAAACAATGTCAAAAAGAAAACTGCGGAAGCCAAAAAACATGTTGGTATTCCAGGGAAAAGAAAATGCTGAAAAGCCATTGAGAAGGAAGTCCAATACTTCTTCTCAACTAATCCGGAAAGAACATGCAGATGCCAGTCTTTCTACAGACTGGGTACATGTACATCGTGACATTCCCATCGTAGTCAGTGGATATTTGCAGCTGTTGTTTAATGTTTGTATTATTTCGATTGTTCTTTATTTCTTATTTTCACTGGTATTTACCATACAAGGTGATATACGAAACTATATAACTTCAGAACGACAGCTCCTTGCATACACAGCGATGGGGTGCCAGAGAGACTATAACAAGTACGAATGTGACAGTCCAAGTAAAGCCATCAGTGATGTTTGTGATGATTTACGGGTCTGTATTTTGCGGAAAACAAGCAACACAAGGCTAGTAGCCAAAATTCTGGCTGAAATCATAGATACATTTGTCACTCATATATCCTATAAGACCATGATTTTTTCGTTAGTGCTGGTTTTTGGAAGCTTGATTGCCTCCAACTACGCTTTCGGGCTTTTTCGAGCTAAGCACTCTCAAAATCTGCCTACTTATGCCACGAGTGCAATACCTGCTATGATCTCTAGTAACCGCTTGCTAGAACAAGGGCCCAACGATAATGGTAATCAGAACCTATTGAACATACAGTCCGAAGAAGGAAAGTAGAGGATGGTTTACTTTTCTCTATAATTTTCGTCTTGTCCATGGTTTATTCTCTAGTCCAATGGGCTTTATCTGAAAATGATTGTATCTGTATCCATGTTTGCTATCCTTTTCCAAACTATTTTGTATCCTGTTAATCTACGCTGATTATTTTTCCTCTCTCGTTTACACTTTTGTTTTATTATTATTATTATAGTCTTTCATTAATGAATATCTATTTCTGCCGTCCTCCTGTTATTCTTCAATGATTAAAATTGTGAAACAAACAATCGTAAAGTCATTAAACTGATGACAGCTTCTGTATGCTAATCACATTTTCATGATTCATGTATATATCACACCAAATGTAATCAGGATACATATCCGTAAGATTAATTGTTTGAAAATGGCGATCATTATTCTGTTCATTCAGAGTTAAAGCATCAGGAATCTCCACTTGCTGATGCTCCGTACCTCTTGGATGTAAAGAGGCCGAAATTTTGTCATGAAACTGGTCCATTACAATAATCCGAAAAGAAAGACTGCAAACATTACTTTCTGATTCCATGGAAGAAGAATGGTTTAAAAAGACATAAAGCTGCAAAGGTAAGACTTTGATATGACCCTGAGTATGCGCACGTAAGTTTTTAAAACTTATTAAATCATTCCGCAGAAAGTTCGAATTCAAGGGACAATTAAGCTGCGAAACTAAGCACAGTTAGAATTTATTTTCTTTTTTCCTATACTTACTCGATATGAGGTCTGTATCTGAAGAAACCAAGTACTGTTCCCGGCAATCGGAATCCTGTTTCAACGAAGTTACAACTATTTGTTCCCCAGGTATGGTTTTTCGAGCTAGATTGGATTTGTCAGGAGATAATATAATTTCCTTTAATCCATTTGGACAGTCAAGACTTACGTAGGTAGGTAAAACTGACCTAACTCGGCCAGTTGCCCAAACTTGCTCATTATAACCCCCTTGCTCGGGTTTCTCTATGGACGACATAATTCCAATCATTCCTTCCTGCCACTGAAGTTCCTTTTCCCAAAATGTATTCCAATACGGCAGGATGAGATACTGCCCACAGTCCAACATGTCAGGATAATCGGCAAAACTTCCAGTAAACTGAAAGGTAAGAAGGCTCGAAGAATCGTAAACTAATTCTTCGTTTTGATCGAGAACCTTATCAACTGGTCGAACTAAGACAGAACTTGTTTCTTCTCCATTTTGTGGCACTCGCTCAACTGGACTTTTGCTCACAATCCAGAATACCTCATGTTCCTTAGTTTCTAATACTTTTTCCATAAATGAGAAGAATTTATCATCACCAAGGGTGGGTAGAAAATGAGTCGTAGGTAAGAACTGCAGCTTTTTCTTCAAAAACCATTTCGGGTATAAGTTTGTCTTGGAAAATCGAACAGAAGACTGAATTGAATTTAAAGTTAGTTTCGGTTCTTGTATGCTGATCCTTTATAAACATACATTTTTCAGTATATCGAATGGACTATGAAATAACAAGAAGTAAGACGAATGTAACATCAAGTCGCAAGTGTTTTGCCGTCTGTCTTTTAGATGTAAAGTAGGAAGAGGATGATAATCGTAATCCACACACTCCAGTTCGAAGCTATTCTCGAATTGGACGTCAGATTCAGAATCTTTCACTGACTCTAGAGTTGAAAATCCTGGGAAGCAATCAAAGTTAGACAAGGTTCCTTCTTTTTAAAGCTTAAATCTGAGATACTTACGATCTTCATGATAGAACCGCTCAGTGTACTACTAGAACATCAGCAATTCTGTGTTATGATCTCTTACATACTGCTAATTCAAGTTCATTCAATAAGATTGCCCATGTGATACCTGAAGGGTATTCTTCAAATAGCTTAATTACATTACTTATAATCCTTTCAAGTGAGATTAGTATTGGAAATCACTCATCGAACTATTTACCAATTCTCTTGTATGCATGCATCATTTCCGCTTTTTATAAGGCAATTTTCAAGCTTCTGTTTTATTTCTTTTGTTAAATTTTCAAAATCCATTCGCTTTTTTGGGTTTATAGCATGAAGATCCAACTACTAAAAGGAAATTTGAGGTTCAGACATATACTGGTACATTGCTTTCGCACCTTTGTGATCTACTCTACGCGTGAGCTTACGAATTCAAACGACTACTATTTTATGTAAAGAAAGAAAATATATTTTAAAAATAATCCGTTGCTTTCTTCTGCAAGAAAAATGATACGAAAAAAAAGTACATTAAAATTTTGAAAACAGACAGCTTCATCACAGTAGGTTGAATTGAATAAGATTACATTAATGATACTTTGTAAATACCCTTCATCAAAAACTGAAAGACAGATCGTTACATGAATAAGAGAAATTACCTGGGTGAGTTGGCACTTGTCTGAACGGATTTAGTTTAGTTTCTTTGAAGAATTTAGATGTTTAAACCATCCAGCAATCATGTCTCCAGTTGCCAGCGTCCTCGGAGAGGTAAACTTATAATAGTAAGGAACAGCGCCATGAAGGCTCATGGTCTTGTGCAAAGTAGGGTCGGTTTGCTGAGCGTCTTCAGAACTGTTTTCCGGTATTCCAGGAATTAAAGTGAATGTAGGAATAGATTGCTTAATAGACCATTGTAAACCCTCGTTATCTCTTGGCGCTAGAGCGAACATACCGTGTATTGTGTCCGCAGGTAACTCTTTAGAAAGACATTCCTTAACTACTGCAGCACCAGTGTCTTCACCAACAGCAAATATCTGACTGGGATCACCGTTGAAGGAGTGAATGCACTCTGAAATCCACTCAATACAAAGTTTAACAAACAAGATGGATTCAGAAACAGAGTACCTAGGAGGTTGTGCATAATTAGGGACAACCACAACAAAACCTAGCGAGGCCAGTTGAGGTATGATGACTGATTCAGCCTTATTACGGCCACATACCCATATGATTACGGGATGATTTGCAGATTTGTCGCTTGGAGCGAAGACGTTCAACAGTAGGTGACTCTTATAAACCAATCTTTCAGTGTTATTTTTTGCTAGCAGCCAATTTGGAAGATATGATATATAAGGATAGCGAAGGATGGATCCGGATGCATCATTGACTAAAAGTCGACTGACGTGCTTTGTCAATGAAAAGCCATCCTTGGTGGAAGCTTCAGATGAAGACATAAGTTTCGCTTTTACACTGTCTAGACGATAGGCTCCAATTACATTTACAACGATCAAAGAAAGCAAGGAGCCTAAGCCTAGCATATCCACGAAGAATATTATATCATAGAAACGAGAAGAAGAAGCTCCTAATTTTTCTGCGAAGATTGAGACTATGCCTTTGACACTAGCAGTTTCCAATGATTTCTCAGAAAGAAATGCTAATAGAGAAGCAACATTATATTTTGTGACACTCGGAGAGAATTTGGGGATTAGTTTCGAGAGTAACTTATGAACATCTAGCTGATATGCTGAAAGGATGAACAAAGAAGAAACGGCTACCCAGACAGCATAGCATGTAGCAACAAATACCATTCTATCGAGATCCTGATTTTGTCCTCGCTACTAAAGTAATGACTGGTTAGTAAAGAGTATTTTATGTTTTAACGTGGATAATAGAAAGCTTGGTTAAAGTCACTTAAAACAAATATGAAAAAATTTGAGAATACGTCAACTTTCAAGACCCCTGCACCGTAACCATCGTGTCACTGAAACTGAAATTTCTAATTTTCATTGAATAAATGAATGAAAGAGAAATCGCAATCATCCAGTACACTGCTTAAAATTCCTGAAAGGCGCATATGAATATCATCATCAAGTTGATATCCACAATTCCTGTACTTGCAACAAATAACAGGATTTAAACATAATTATAAGTATAAGCAACTTTTAAGAAAGTCTTTCTTTAGTTATATTTTACTTACCACGAGTGTTTTGAGAAAGTACAAAATAAGAGTAGTAGAGGAGAGTCAGCGGATGAGCGGCTGTAGAGAGATGGTCTGTTTATAGTAGAATGAATTGAAAACAAAACGAAGCTTTTGAAAATTCTACGCAATCTTTGAAAGTATAAACGAAAGAATAAACGTCTCAAACATGCATTGCAAAGTGTTTTTAATCATTTGTCGTGAATAGTGATCACTGAAGAATTTGGCAAGGAAACCGTCGTAAACAATGTCAATAGCAAAAACAAGTTAAATAAAATCAAAAATGTAGAGGTAAGTTTCAGATTAGGTCAACATTCTGAGAAAAAGCATTCAGTATTCTTGAGAGACAAAGTCACAAAATACATTTGCAGAATCCCAGTCAATGCATTTTATGTCCTGGAACAAAGAAGAATAGCTCTTTTCAAATAATAGGAAAAAAAACTGACTCTGAAGCAATGCAAATACTTTTTGGCAACATAATAACATAAAGATTTCGAAACACGAATCCATATCTTGTTGGAGATCAGGAAAAAGCAAAGATAATTATGAAATTAAACAGAACCCAAATTTCAAAACTGTAGTACCGTTATAAACATATGAACGAGCTGTTTACAGCAAATAGGCAGCATTTACTAAAAGCACCATATGCATTAATCAGGTCCACTACCTTATTTCACAGCGGATATTGTTCAAAATTCCAAAAGCATTGGGATTGAGAACTCCAATTATTATGCATAGCTGTAAGCTTTTACTCATGAAGTAAACGCATCGTGTAACCATGAACAGTCGCACGAACTTCGCGGGCGCCAGGATCATGCTCAAACATGGGTTCCCTCTTTTCTTCCACTATTTTTTCTACCAAAAAACCATGCTCTTTTGCAATTTCGAAAAAGAGCAGGTCCTTGTCAGCGAAATGAGGGCGATGGTGCGTGAAAAACACATAAGCGATGGCATGCTTGTTGTCACCCATAGCTGCTTTACAAGAATGGACGAGCTTTGTTTGTTCTGTATGATTAAAAATCAAATCTGATAACAGTAAAACATCAAAGTATTGATCTTGAGAAAGACCAGCATAATTTCGCAGGTCTTGAATATCTGATCCCCATAAATAACCGACAGCAGAAGCTCTACCGTTTACTTCATTGAAGCTTTGGATATTTCTTTCAAGGTTTTGTATAAGAGGGGGATCCGGATAGTCTGAGCAGACAACGTGTTTAGCACCATCAAAAGCAGATATAATAGAGGGCAAGCCAGCACCTGCTCCAAACTCTAAAACAACCTTTCCTTGAACAGTTTCTGGATGCGCATCGATGTAGTTTGCTAGCACAATACCACTATTCCATAAGTAGTGCGCCCATAGAGAATGCGATCCTACGAGTTGTAGTTCAACTTCTTTTGGTCTAATTTACTAAGTTAGATCTTTGTACTTACAAAAAGTTTTTTACAGATGGAACAAAACATACCCATTGGGAAAAGTCTTTCGCTCATGAAGAACGGTTTTTGGCGGAGGAGTAGAAGGACGAAAGTCTTCTGGCTCTTCAAACATATTAAGCCCTTCAAAATCTAATTCTGCCATTTTCTAAAGTACTGATTTTACTCAATGTTGTCAGATTGAAAAGGTTCACTTTTTTCACAGTGTAGGACTCTGAGGACTGCTGAAGAAAGTATCATCATGATGAGAGAAAAGAATACTACACTCGTAACAAAAGAAAAGAAAAGAAAAAAAAATAAATTTACTTGTTATGTTAAGTAGATTAAAAGGCAGTTTCAATGTTTTCGTGAAAGCAGCGAAGATACCCAGGCTCACAGAGGGCTTTCGCTTTTTTTAGTTTTTTGAACATAAAAATCACTGAAAACGAATGCTACAGAAGTTTAAAAAAGTTCAAACATTGACCAAGGACACATGAATGCAATGAAGGAAAGAGATAATACAGACAAAACCATATAAAGAAGTATTCCAAACATATGGAGTGAAAAGAAAAGAAAAAATGAAAGTAAATAGAAAGAAAGAGTAAGGGCAGTTTTAGAATTGGGCAGCGAAGAGGATTCATAATTAGACATAGAGAGAACATCCGGCAAAAAAAAAGAGTCGATAAGATGGCTCTTGTGCTGAAAAATAATAATAATAATAATAAAGATGAAAACCATTACACAGATTGAGGGCCGTGGAATCAATTTGTAAATGACGACCATCGAATTACGGAAAATAGAACAGGGAAGAAAAAAACCCATACAGATAGACCTCAGGAAGGATACAAAAAGTTCTTGACCTATTTCAATACTTTCTCCTTTCCATTTAAATATACTGATTAGCTTTCCATTCCAGTAAAGTCTTGACGGCTTTATCGGAAGAATCGACGATGACACTTACACCATCAGAAGTACAGCCATGAAGCCAGGTATTATGATAGTTTGTGATTTTTCCCATTTTTGAATCCTCTACGACAATGTGAGGGACACCCATTAATGTGGAAAGGATGTGTGCGTGAAGACGATCAGTGATGACGGCTTTGTGGGAAGCCAAGAACTGTGCGCCAGATACAAAACGTGACTGTCCTTTAATATCAAAAGTAGCACCTGGCTTGTTAACGTCTTCTGGGTCCCAGTTTAGCCAATCCTCGACAGAGTATGTGACATTGGCGGAAGACAAACCCTCATGATATAAGGACTCGGAGGAGTGTTCCTGCCCGCCTTCTCGGTCAAGGCGAGCAAGGATTAAGACATCAGAAGTGATGGGAGTCTTTTCTCGAATATCGGTAAGCATACCCAGGAAAAAGACAATATCAGGGGTGAGAATAATTTCGTTGTCTTTACCAAACCCGTTCACGCCAGTCTGATAGCTTTGACGATCGCGGAAGGCAAGTTGTATTTGAGGATGATCACCGTAAAGTTTCGCCGTCTCTTGCAAGACCGTTTCATCGTTGTACCAAATCGATTGGGGAAAAGAGATAAAGCGGCCTTTGGGGAAGTCTCGAATGACAATTTCACGCAACTGTTGATGATCGGGGTATAAGTCACCAAAATTACCTCCACCATGAAAAGTAAAAGCAAACTCCTCAGGAGAGGTTTCTTGGACGATGGGTTTGAGTTCAGAAGCGCTATAATCAGATTCGCTAGAGCATATATAGACGATTTCAATGTCAAGGGCCTCTAAGAGTTTACGTTCGGCAACATAAATGGCACTGTCGCCCTTGTTAGGATGGTCGGGAAAGCCGATAAGCGCAACCTTTTTAACCCCCTCAAAGTAATGCTTATAAAAGGTAAACAAAACATTTTTTTGAAATGAAATGGTAGACTCGCATTGTGCACTGTTTTTAGCAGGTGCCTTTACGAAAAGCGACTTTCTGTTGCTGGTAGATTCGTGGATTTTGGGTGAACTTAAACTCGCAGGGTTTTTGATCGTTTGCATATCGGTTCGTGTAAGTCCATAAATGAACAAACCTATAGAAACGGTTGCCAATGTAACGAGCAGCAGATATTTGTAACGAATATTAATTGTAACAGGCATAATTAGGGTATTGGAAAAGAAAAATTGCAGCTAGCTCAAAGACACAGTCAAAAAGAGAGGAGAGGACAAAAGATGAAGATGAAAGGAAAAAAACAAAAGATAAATCAATTAACGAAAACCCGTCAAAAAAAGAAATCAACCAACCAAATCGTTCAAGTTGTTTCTGCCAACAGTATGAAATTATGATAATACCAATCCAAATGAACAGCTGGGGTTTGTATATTATTCCAAAGTTATTGATATTTTCTTACTTACAGAGCAACAAGCTACAAGAAAAATCCACAATTTGGAAATTCACTTTCCCAGAAAAATGATGTGCGGAGGAAAGATCAGATATCGGTACTTGTTTTCTTTATAGCAAACTACGCATCTCGGCTTCTTAATATTAAATAAACTTTTATTTGGTATTCGTTTAACGAAGTGATTAAATGTGGTCGCTATCTTTCTGTAAGAATCCTGCTTTATGGAAAGTTTTTAAACAAACCATACTATGCATTTTCTTGTGCATAGGAAAAGTGAAGAGCGTCTTGGGTGTCGTAGTAGATGATCTCAAAGTACGTTGATGCTCATGGTGCGTCTCTTTAGTTCACGAATTGAAAACAATAAAACATCTCCAAAATTAAAAGTCTCTCTCCCTGTGAATTAATGCCCTTGGTTTTCTTTTCAGCTAGAAGTAACATTCATTATATTAAGAGTAATACTACAATGACAAATAGTGATTTACTAAAATGAATAGCGACGAAATTCAAAAAGAAAATTGTTTCATTTGAATTCAATTAAAATGAAATGAAATGAATGGCAACATGGTCCGGTGAAACTCTCTAGATCCTCTCCTTCTCATAAGAAAGCCATCCTCCGTCATGTAATCCTACGTACCGACATTCCATCCTACGCTCACCGTTGAAATGGCTTTATTCTTGTAACTACTCAAACTCAAGACTATCCAATCTGCTTGCTATTAGCGCTACTGCTATTACGAATTGTTTGTCTAAAACAAAAACGAGCGACAGAGCCTCCTTGATTTTATTTTCTATATATCATACATATATTGCGAAATGGTTCCATTTCTCGTAAAACGTTATCATCATTATATTTAGAACCTTAAACATCATACCATACATTCCATCATGGTTTTGCAGATGTTAATTTTATTTTTACTTGGTAGCGGTAATGACCTTGGTAAGTTCATAGGACTTGACTGCATCCAAAAAGTCAGATTGGATGGCAGACTTGGGTCCTTTACCCTCGGCAGCTTCCAAGAAAGCCTTGAATTCAGAATGGTAAGGATCATCACCAGGGAAGTGGTACTTTTGTTCGCTGTCAGATTCAGGGGAACGAACGTAGAGAACGGGATCACCGTAAAGATCAACAATGCGAAGGTAATAGCCATCAGCTTGAACTTCAATGCAAGTATCATACTTAGTACCTTGGAGTGTAATGTTGTGGGTGAAAGAACCAACGGCACCATTCTTGTACTTCCAAACAGCTGCAGTGAAGCGAGGAATACGTTCATGAGGGGGAATATCCTTCTCTTCGTCAACAGGCATAGCAGACAATTGACCACACTCGTCATCCCAGTTGACGCGTTGAACACGCACGCTGCTAGTATCGACATCACCACCGAAGAAGCGAGACAAATCGCAGAAGTGAGTACCTTGTTCAACGACAGGGCCTCCAGATTGAGACATAGTCCACCAGAAGACCTTGGAGTTGTGAATGTAGGCAGAGTTGTATTTGGCAATGGTGCTGACGACCTTTAAGTTCTTCTCCCGAATAATTTCCTTGGCCTTTTGAACTACCCTCAAGTAGCGGAGCATATAACCCACAGAGATGATAGACTCCTTAGGAATTTGTTTAGCAACGGCAAAGGCATCTTCAACCGGGGCGGCAGAAATAGGCTTCTCGATGAAAAGAGCGGCATTAGGGAACTTTCTGAGAAGGGCAAGTTCCATATCAGCACCAGGGGCGGTGGAACCATGGTTTTCGGGAGGAATTCCAATGATGAAAGCATGAGGGAGTTCACCGGGATGCTCAGTCAAGTAATTCAAATACTCGTCAGCAGAGTAGAATTCTTGAACAGTGTTGTAGCAGGAAGCGTAAGGAGTCTGGGCCTTTTGCTTCAAGACACGTTCGTGAGAGGACTTGTGAGGAGAAAGAAGAGCAATCACCTTAAGACGGTGGCCAAGAACCAATTCGAGCTTTTCAGAATTGTTCCATGGACCTTCAGATGAGCCAAAGTTAATACCACCGCAACCGAAAATAGCACAAGTGAAAGGTTGTCCAACGTCAGGGTGGGTTTTTTCAGCAATACGAGAGGAAACTTCGTGCTTGGCGAAGTTGTAGGCCTTAACAGCTTGATCCTTGAAATGATCCATAATGCACGAATTCACGTTAAATTGAAAATAAACAAAAAATATAAAATAAAAGATAGCTTAGTTAGTCTATTATATCAAAAATAAATGCAAAGTCAATATGTCGTAAAGAAATTAGCTTCTAGTTCACTGATATGTATACAAGAAGCAAAATCAAATAAATAATAGAATTGATAAATCGCGGACTGAATAAGAATAAATCTCTGCAGTTATCGATGCAGAAAAAGGTGGGAATGGGCCCCTATATATAACCTTTTTTTAGAATAGTGTGGAAAACCTATGAAATCAAGCATCTGATGAAGTGAGGGTAACAGCCCTGCCCATATGCTAGTGTGATGTGATACCCCCTAGGTGTGTGTAAGTACAAGAATATTCGAGGAAGGGGACTGTTTAGCCAATGTAACTGCCCCCAAGGGAGATCATCACCCAAAGTAACAAAGCGTCGAGATAAAAACATGTCATCGTTGCATCATGAAGCAGGTGACCTCAGAAACTTTCTCGAATGTAGTAACCCCGCTTTTGTATCAAGAACAACCCCAAGCTCGGGAATTTCATCAATAGAAAGTTTGCAAAACTACTAGAACCGGTCTACTGGAACGGCAATGACGTAGGAAAGAGATCCCGAAATAACAAGGTTTGCGTTCCCGATGTCGCTGAGCGTTTTCCCGAAAGTTTGTCAATTCACATTATGGGATACTTTGGTAAATGGGTGAAAAGAGGGGAAAGAAACGAAGAACCTAAATGGGTTGTCGCATATAAGGGAAAAAAAGAGGAAATGACCCGACGATAAGAAATCTAAACAAATAAACAAGGAAATAGTGAGAAATGAAAAGTATAACAAAAAGAAAAAAGATAGAAGAAAGGATCGAAATTGTTTTTGAGTATTAAGGATGATTTTATCTTTCGAAGACCCGATCATTTCTTTTTCCATATTTGTTACTTGCGATTGTTACCGACGACGGATTTTGTCTGTGTTTTAGATGAAGGAACGAGTATGGGAAAGGTAGCAAAACAAACGTTGATTGTAAACAAAAGCAAACTAAAGAAAGAATACCTAAATAATAGACCCCGAAACAAAAAAAAAAAAAAAAAAAAAAAAAGAATACATATTTTTATAACTGGAAGAATACTGTGGAGTATGAATTAAATCGAGTGGAATATCTGTTTGTATTTTCACATACTATAGTAGCAACTAACTACTAATAATGTTCTCTGAATATAATAGCTAAACATGTACAGACGAGTTTATTCGTTCGACCAATGAACAAGTTCAATACCACTCAACTACACAAGTAAGCAAGTAAGAAAAAGGCCTAGCATAGCACCATACCCTAGAAAAAAATCGAGTTTCTATAAACAAATCCAATGAAAACGGAAAAAATTATTCCAAGAAAAACCAACACCAACAGCTACAACAACCTATAGCACTTTTCTCTTTCTCTTTCTCTTTCTCTTTCTCTCTCTNTCTNTCTCTTCTTCTCTTCTTCTTCTTCTTCTTCTTCTTCTTCTTCTTCTTCTTCTTCTTCTTCTTCTCTCTTCTTCTTCTTCTTCTTCTCTTC